CTATACAACTTTTTCGATGTTCAATACCATGACTGTTATATAAGGCAGCAAAATCAAACTCAGGGTCATTATCAGACCTAATGGTCTTGATAATCTTATTAAATTGAGTTTTAATTTTTAAAACAAAATTCTGAAGTAATTCTCTAGTTTGACTTTTTTAATTCATTAGAAAAATCCAAATATGTTTGTTGTAATCATCAACTATAGTTAGAAAATATTTATGCCCATGAACAGAATGTATAGAAACAGGGCCTCATATGTCACAGTGTATCAAATCAAAACAATTGGAAAAATATGAAACACTCTGTAAAAAGGGCAATTTATGTTGTTTGGCAAAATGGCATACATCATAAACAATTTCAGTAGCTATATTAACATAAGGAAAATGTTTACATATTTGTTCAGTAGCTTTGAGTCCAAGATGGCCTAATTTATAATGTCACCAACTAATATCAACATGTTTATAAGAAAGAATAACCAGGAATATAGTTTTGGCAGAAAACACAAAAACTTCTAAGGTAGTATAATCCCTTGTGGACATCAGCCTGTCCAATCGTCTTCAAGGTAGTACTGTCCTGGATCTGGCAAAACTTAGGAGAGAAAATTAGAGTGTAGTTTAATTTTTTATTTAATTTTTGCACAGATATAAAGTTAAAAGAAAATTTTTGAATGTATAACACAATGAAAAGAGTAAAATTCTTAGAAAAATTGATGGTTCCAGCAAATGCTGCAGTAAGTAGAGAGTTATTTGACAATTTGACAGATATGGATTTTATTCTGTAGAAGGTTACAAAATTATTTTTATCATAGGTGACATGATCAATGGCACATGCGTCTATTATCCAGGGGAGATTACCTTGTTTTTCTCCAAGGTTGTTTCTTTGAACATGATTGATGTTGTGGGACTGTGATCCATTGTCACTGCTTTCCAGCATTTTTAGAATTTTCTACATTTGTTCAGGGTGAAAGTGTTAAGGGGTTTTTCAGTCCTAGGAGGTTTAGCAGTGTTGGTTTCAGTATGGGCTGCAGGGTCTTCTTTACAAATGTTGACATAACTCCATTAATTCTGACCATTCTTTTCTTGGTTTTGATTATTATTCTTTTTTTACCATGGTGAAAACCCGTGCTTTGAGTAACATTCATCTATAGTGTGGTTCATCTTATGGCAATAGGAGCATTGTTTGCCATAATTGGGGTTTCTCCCTCTTCCTCTTCCTTGATTGTGCATTCCATTACCCCTTTCTTGAGATTTCTGATCTTGCTTCCATTGGTCGTGTTTATTAGCAGTGTTGGTCAGGATCTTGTTTTCTATTTGGTTAATGACCCCAACAATTTGTCTTTCTTGTTGCATGACAAGAGAAAAGACCCTGTTGATGCTAGGCAAAGACTCCATTAATAGAATTTGTGTCTTTATAGTGTTATAGGTGTCATTTAGACCTTTAGGAAACAAATAACATGTCCAATTTCTCTATATTTAACAGAGACTTTTGACAAATCACAAGTACAGGAAGTATTGCAAGTGCATAAAGGAATGAGTCTAAGATATTCAAGCTCTTCCCATAGAATTTTTAAATCTGTAAAAAATTGGGTAATATTAAGTTCACCTTGCTTTATGGAATGAATTTCTTGCAATTGATATGAAATTTTGAAATAATCTCCTTTGGAGAATCTCTCCCTCAATTCTCCCCAAAGTTCTTTAAAATCTTCAACATATATAACACTTTCTACAATTTGGGTTGAAAGGGTCTTGATAATCCAAGACAGAACCATCATGTTGCATCTTTCTCATGCATCGTACAAAGGGTAATTTTTTTTGTGGCCTTTTTATTCCTCCATCAATGAATTTCAATTTGTTTTTGGAGAATAGGACCCTCTTCATATTTCTACTTCATGATGAGTAATTAGATTCATTTTAAGTTTGAGAAATTAATACAAGACCTGGGTTTTCTCCAGGATGAAGGTAAAAAGGGCCAGAGGGATTTAAACACTACTACAAATAAGGTTTTCCACGTCGGTTCTGGAAGGCCTTCAACGGCGAAAGTCCTGACTTTCAAATCGAAAATTTTTATTTATTTCCAACCCCTCTCCCTCTCTCTATTTATCTAGAAATCCCCCTCTCTTTTATATTATATTTTTATTATTTATAATCTTTTTTTAAAGTTTAGAGCATTACCAAATTAATTTTTTGTCACTGACAGGATTCGAACCCAAGTACCTTAGTGTTGGAGGTCGATACTCCAACCACTAAACTACTCGAATTTTTTGATAATAACTTACAAATAAATTATATTTATATACAAATAAATATATATCCGTGTAAATATATAAATATATAAATACAAATATATTTATATATTTTGATATATTTATATAATTATATATTTATATGTTGGATGTGATGGCACGCTCGAAGGTGAAAGTGTGTCGAGTGAGTTTTCAAAATTTGATGTCAAATTTGTGAGCGAGTCTCTTTATATGAGTTTGTAATTTAATGACAGAATATAATATTTATAATTTATTAATGATATAAAATAAATATGAGAAACGCATCATTCGCTCAAGCGAAAAATACCAATTTTCGCTCAGCGAGGCTTGAACGAGTGAATTTCCGTGAGTTTTAACGTATTTTCACTCAAGCGAGAGTCAATCTCACTTTCACCCTCGAACGCGCCTTCACATCCAACATATAAATATATAACTATATAAATATATATAAATATATCAAAATATATAAATATATTTGTATTTATATATTCTATATTTATATATTTACACGAATATATATTTATATGTATATAAATATAATTTATTTGTAAATTATTATAAAAAAATTATAGTAGTTTAGTGGTTGAAGTATCAATTTTCAACTCTAAAATACTGGGTTCAAAAATCCTGTTAGTGACAATTCTCTAACTTAAGTAAATTTTTGGCTGAAAAAAAATAAAAACACTTTCCAGAAAATATATATATATATATATATATACACGGATATATATTTATTTATATATAAATATAATTAATTTGTAAGTTATTATCAGAAAATTACAGTAGTTTAGTGGTTGGAGTATCAACTTTTAACTCTAAAATACTGGGTTCGAATCCTCTCGATGACAATTCTCAAACTTATGTAAATTTTTGGTGAAAAAAAATAAAAACACTTTCCAGAAAATATATATAAATAAATATATATTTACACGGATATATATTTATTTGTATATAAATATAATTAATTTGTAAGTTATTATCGGAAAATTACGGTAGTTTAGTGGTTGGAGTATCAACTTTCAACTCTAAAATACTGGGTTCGAATCTCGTCGGTGACAATTCTTGAAATTAAGAGAATTTTTGGGTGAAAACACATTCAACGTCGGTTCATCTGGGAACCGTTGAATGTCTAAATTAAAAGACTTTCAACGTCGTTTTTTAACCAACCGACGTTGAAAGTGTATTTAATGTCGGCTCAGCTTTAACCGACGTTAAATGACGACGTTGAAAGTATATTTTGTAGTAGTGAAAAATTGATCCAAGTTGTTGTTTTGTGCAGTGTTGGCGCTGCAGTGACCAAGAAGATCAACAAGATTGATGAAGATGATCATAGTAGGTTGCAGTAGAAGTGAAGAATTGTTCTTGATACCATGATGAGGGATCCACTTTAAAGATAAAAAAAGAGAAAAAGGTTGTGTTGAAAATGAAAGGAAAAAACCAAGCCACAAAGGCTTCAGGAGAAAGCGAAAAGGAACGAGAACTCTAACATCACAAGAGAGTTATCCAAGCAATACAACACTCCAGGACATACTTAATTAGGTAATGCAGAACTATCTATATATTATTTATTATGTGTTGATTGACTTTATAAAAAGAGAAGAAAACTCTTTATATTGGGTCAGCGGAAACCCTAATCAAAGGAAAAAACCAATTAACTGAACAAAAATGAATTATTACTAGGTAGTAATTTTTACTAACTATTAACAAACTAAGTAACTTTAACGTGAACAATAAAAAAATCCTATCACATTACACATTTACAATAAAATAGATATGTTAAATCTAAATAAATTGAAAAAAAATATCATATTGCCATATTATATATGAATCGTAAAATGATATTGTAATATTTATTTTATTTTTTATTTTTTTATTTATAAATATTAAATATTAAAATATAATAAATACATAAACAATATTTTATAATTAAATTAAAATATAAAATAAACAAAACAGACAACAAAAATTAAAAATAATAAAATTACATTGATTTCGAAACTGAAAAAAAAATTAGTGTTATATAACACCATTTTAATATTAAAAGAAAAACCTAAAATCGTATTACGATTTTGAAATTAAAAAAAATGATTTTCTTATTAAAAAATAGTGTTACATTCGACTAATTCTCCATAAAACTTTTGAAAAACTATACCAGTGTGGTAATAAAGGTGCCCATTTAAAAAAAAAAAAAAAAAAACTCTTTGTTTTCACATATAAGACTTAATGAACTAAATCATTATAATAATAAAAAAAAAAACTCGTCAACTTGGTTGATAGTAATAAAAAATGTTTCATAAATTTACATTTTCTTTCTAAAATGACTATTTTCATTCAAACTCTTCTCTCTTTTTATGTTTTATCAATAAATGCTTTTTTAAAATTAAGATTGTTATATTTTTAAATAATGAATTTAAAATTATAAATTAGAGGTATATTTGAAAAAAAAAATTATCTGTAAGTATTTCTGTAAGATAGAAAAAAAATTATTTGTTTCTATAAAAAATATATTTTGAAATTATCAACAAGGTTTGACGTGATAACATTAGCAATGTTCATCAATAATTAGTCATTATTCTACTAAAAAAAAAAAAAATTGCATAAACACAAATGTATCATTGGTAATGTACAGGAAGGAAAACTTTACAAACTAGAGTGTGCATATTTATGTATGTATATCACCAACATGAATGTGGTAGCTTGAGTAAGAGGCAAGAAGTGGAGGAGAGAAAGGAGTTCTATTTGCGAATCAAGGCAACAATGGAGACACAGTTACTGGCCGTGATGCCAACCATGCCTTCAGTATGACGGGAGGTCATCTTGAGGCCCTCAAAGCCGCTCTCGCAGGAGGAGACATCCGCCATGACGGAGCTGAGCATGACGGTGACTGTGCCGAGGTCCTGGGAGTGGAGGGCCTCCAGGGCCTTGTGGAGGCTCTTGAAGGCGTTCATGTACTGCCTCTTGCAGCCGGCGAGGGCGGTGGCCATCTCCGGCGAGGACTCCATGTATCTGACGACGATGGAGATGGTGAAGTTGGCCTGGAAGGAGCAGGCTTTTATGGCGGCCTCCAGGATGTGCGTGAGGTCGAAGTGGCGGCTGAGGAAGGGCACTATGGTGGAGAGGCACACATCGGGGTATTCCGTGCGCGAGCAGACCTTCTTCACCGAGTCACGGTCGTGTTTCTTGATGTGGTCGTGCATCGTAATCGTCTTGCTGCCTCGTAACGACCCCATCTGGATGTCCGAGAAGAACGAGGAGAATGTCTCGCTCATATGCCCGTCCCTTCGTGCACGCCTGCCGCCGCCGCCGAACCCAAAGTGCCATTCCTCGTTCGATGTCGTCTCTTCGGAGTTCGAGTACTCCGTGGTTGGGAACCCGAGTGGCGGCTCCGCCTCTCCCCATTCCGCTTGTGGAGGCTCTACTTCTGGAGGCTCCGCTTCTGTCAGCGTTGACTCCGGCGGCTCCGAGGGGAGGTTAGGTGTCGACTCCAGCGGTATCTCCGGCGTAGTCTCCGGCGGTGGATCTTCGGTGGCGGGTGGCTCGTGCGCTGTACATAGTGCAAAGCTTAGGAGGAGTGTTATGGGGAAGAGGGTGACGAAATTGATGTTAAGTTTCATTTGATTTTTTTTTTTCTGTTTTTTTTTTCCTGTTTTTTTAAGGATAGTTGAGAACAGACGAATATATTTTGCTTATTTTAAGGTATATGAGAAAAGAAAAGAAAAAAAAAAAAAGAAAAAAACAACAGAGAGGATGTGTTAATGTTTGGGATTCTGAATATAAGTGAGTTTATTAGGGAAAGTGAATGGCTATGAATTGACCATGAAAATAGATGAAGTTTTAAGGGATAGGGACCACCACCATTGTTGATGGTGCTAATCTTTAGCATGAGATGAAAACTACCCTCTATTTTTCTTCCCATCCTCTCAAAATATATTATTACTACTGCTTTCCTATTTTAAGTTAACCTACGTCACGATTATATTTAAAAAGGATTTTTATTTTTTTAGAATAGAAATACCTTTAAAGAATAGAAATAAAACAAAAATTTATATTATATGGTATTTTTTTCTGTAATTTGTTTAGAGAGAACAAAAATTCTACAGAAAGAACAAAATAAAAAATTAATAATATCAAAAATATTAAAAAAAAAAAGTTTTGTAACTCAATTTAAAAAATGAGTAATTGAAATTTTATTAAGCGTAATTAGTTTTTTCATAAAATATTTATTTTGATTTTTAATTTTAAAAATACAATACTTTATATGATGATATTCAAATGAAAAATGCTTTATAAAATCATATGTATTTAATTGGATCAAGATGGCATTTATATTATAAAGTGAAAATAGATGCATGTTTCTTATCCATATTTTGTATATTAATATTAATTTATTTAAAAATATTTATAAAAAATTATTTTATTTTTTCTCTATTTCATATTAATATTTTTTATACACTTTATCTTGCACGGTATTTTTTTTTAATAAATAAATTATAATAATATAAAACTAAAAACGATAATAAAAAAAAAAGAAATTCTCTTTTATGTATAATATAGATATAATTATGAAAATTATTTTTAATTAAATTATTTATTATAAAAATTTCATCAAATTAAATATTTATATATATAATAGAAAATTTTCTTTAATTTAATATTGAATTAAAATTTAATAAATATAAACTATTTTTTAAATAAAATATTATTAAAAAAATAAATTAAATCTAAGTATTATAAATTTCGTTAATTTTTTTAATTCAAAATTGAAAATATAGTAGCAATTAATGTTGGTCAAATATAAGATTTGTAGAAGAAAATTAAGTTGGAGATAAAATTTCTGTAAACTGCAAAAGATAAATGAGTAATATTTAACGGATGAATTTCACCAACATATGTAATTAGTAAAAATAGAGAAATTTAGGATTTGTTTTGTATAAGATTTTTAAAATATTTTTTATATTTTAAATTTTAAAAACTAAATTGTTTGATAAAGTTTTTTTGTTAAAATAGTTCTTATTTATTAATTTTTAAAATTTAAAAATTAAAATTAAATAAAAATATGTTGTTTTATGTTTTAATTTAATGGTTTTATTAGTGATATGTGTGTTATACTTCTAACTATATTATATTTCTTATTTTTGTTGTGCTATTCTTCATCTTAGGAAATAATATTTAAATTATAATTTTTAATTTATTTCACAAAAATAGTTATTCAAAACTTATTTGTAAAAGAATTTTTAAAAATTAAATTAAATCAAGTAATCCTTTATAAAACAAAAGACTTAGTTATGTGAACCAAATATAATATAAATATTATATAAGAGCATTATTACATTTTAATTAAATTAACGTATAAAATGTACAATAAGTTTTTTTAAGACTATTTAACCATTTTAAAGAGCCTAAAGCTGGCGGATCTTGAACATTAATTTTGAGGGGGCCAAATAATATATTATTAATAAATAATAAATAAATATAAAATGAAGAAAGAAGATGAAAAGGTGAAAATATAAAATTGTAAATATATACTTAAATATATTAAATCATCGTTAAGTTTGAGGGAGACAAAATCATAAATTATATGAGAGTTACAAAATTAAGGAGAGACTCGAAAGGATAAAATTATAAATATATAAGTAAATATATATTAAATGTTCATTAAATTTGGGGAGCCAAAATCATAAATTATATAGGAGTTACAAAACTTTCGAAATGACGGCCCAAGAAGATCCGTCACTGAAGCTAACCACTTTAAAAGAATTTAAATAATTGAATTTATCATTTGTATTTGTTTGTCCTCAGTTAATTATGACCTATATATAACAAGTTTTTATGTATCTGCATAACTAATGAAAAAAAAATCATGTTTTCAACCCAATTCAAAGAGGCATGTGTACACCCACTAAATAAGATTAACCTAATCATATATTTTTGCAAATTTATGAAAAAAGAATTCTTTGTAAAGGTATTATAAAGGAAAATCATAATAAAAATTTGAAATAAACTACAAACATAGCAATATAGGCACAAGTATATGGTGTATATAAAAAATAGTGAGAAATACAAGTACATATAGTTTACGAATCTTTATCTTATTCACGAGACAATAGTTAAAAGTAATTCATCTATCATGTTATTTTATACAACGCAAAGATCGGGAATCACAGAATGGAAAATTTCTGTATATCCAAAACCTAAACTTTTGACTTACATCCAAATGTAGAACACTAAATTTTAGAGGATGCTCCTATAGATGTAAGACACTCCTTTGATAGATCACTAGGTATTAACGAATCATTTATAAAAACAAGATGTGGATCATCCTGGTGATGATAAGTGAACAAAAATTACATAGAATATATATTCTGATGAATGTGGTAGCTTGAGTGATAGGAAACACAGTGGAGCAGAGAAAGGCCTCTATTTGGGAATCAAGGCAACAATGGAGAGACAGTTACTGGCCGTAACGCTAGCCATGCCTTCAATATGACCGGAGGTCTTCTTGAGGCCCTCAAAGCCGCTCTCGCAGGAGGAGATATCTGCCATGACGGAGCCGAGCATGACGGTGACGTTGCCGAGGTCGTGGGAGTGGAGGGCCCTCAGGGCCTTGTTGAGGCCCTTTAAGGCGTTCTTGTACTGCCTCTTGCAGTCGGCGAGGGCGGTGGCCATCTCCGGCGAGGACTTCATGTGTTTGACGACTATGGAGATGGTGAAGTTGGTCTGGAAGGAGCAGGCCTTTATGGAAGCCTCCAGGATGTGCGTGAGGTCGAAGCTGCGGCTGAGGAAGGGCACTACGGTGGAGAGGCACACGTCGGGGTATTCCGTGTGGGAGCAGACCTTCTTCACTGAGTCACGTTCGTGTTTCTTGATGTGGTTGTGCATCGTGATCGTCTTGCTGCCGCGTAACGACCCCTTCTGGATGTCCGCGAAGAACGAGGAGAACGCGGGGCTCATTTGCCATTGCCTGCTTGCGCGTCCACCGCCGCCTCTGCCGAATTCGAATGACCCTTCCTCGTTCGGCATCAGCTCCTCGGTGTTCGAGAACTCCGTGGATTGGAACCCGAATGGCGACTCCGCCTCTGGCGATACCGCTGCTGGAGGCTCCGCTTCTGGAGGCTCTGCTGCTGGAGGCTCCGCTTCAAGAGGCGGAGGCTTCGACGACATCGACTCCATCGGTGTTTCATTCGGCGTCTCCGGCCGTTTTTTATTCGGCGTTTTCGGTGGTTTTTCATTCGGAGTCTCTGGTTCAAGAGGCGGAGACTTCGACGACATCGACTCCATCGGTGTTTCATTCGGCGTCTCCGGCCGTTTTTTATTCGGCCTTTTCGGTGGTTTTTCATTCGGAGTCTCTGGTGGTTTTTCATTCGGCGTCTGGGACGGCGGATCTTCGGCGGCAGCTGTGCATAGAACAAAGCTTAGGAGGAGGGTTACGGAGAACAGGGTGACGATCAAGTTGATGCCGTGTTTCATTTTTATTTTTTTAAGGTAGTTGAGAACAGAAAAATATGTTCTGTTTATTTGAAGGTAGATGAGAGAAAATAAAAAACAAAGAAAGAAAAGAATGTATTGATGTTTGGGATTCTGGAAATTTATATAAGTTAGTTTTGAGGGAAAGTGATTGGTTTTGGAATGACTATATAAATAGCATGAGGTTTGGAGGGATAGTGACCATTGTTTAGTGCTAATCTCTAGCATTGTTTGCTGAGATGAAAACTACCTTTCTTAAAATTAGACTTTTAAGAATCATTCTTTTAGATGAATAATATATATATATATATATATATATATATATATATATATATATATATATATATATATATATATATATATATATATGTTAAATCAGATTTTATCATATCATATTAGCACAAATACAGGTCAAACATAGAGAGGATCTTTTTAATTATTTTTATTTAATTAATTTATATTGAAAAGAGAAATTGAAAAAATTACTTAATAAAAAATAATAAAAGAGAATACAATTCCTAATTAAAATAATTTTATTTATTTCATTTATATTAAAGCGAAAGAAATTGAAAGAACACGTGATTTAAGGAGCGAAGAAAAAAATTATGATTAGAAGCTTAGTCTTCTATTGAAATGTTGTTTATTTTTATTTTTTTATTAGTCTTCTCATATTAGTTATATAAGTTAAAGGATAAGAATAAAGTGGTGATTTCAACATTTTTTTTTAAAGTTCAATCCTAAAATTATTAAATATCACAATTAAATATAACTCAAATTTTTTGAATTGATTAAAATAAATTATAATTTTAAATCTCTGATAATTCATGAATAATTTAAAATAAATTATACATTATCTTGAATAAAAAGTAAAGGGGTTACAACATGTCTTCTTATATTATATATTCTCAAGTTGAATCATCATATTAAAAATGAACATTGTTTATTACATAAATTATTATTTATTTTCTTAAGGTTATAATATGAAAGGGAATACAAGAGTTTTAACTAATAATAAATCATTATATTAAAATGGATAGACAACTAAGGCATGGCAACGGGCGAGGCGGGGGTGGGTTTTGCCTCTCTCGTCCCCGTCCCCGACTTTTTAACCATCCCCGTCCCGCCCCGATCCCTGCAGGGGTTAGGAATTAAGTCTCCATCCCCGTCCCGTTGGGTTTTGGGTTTCCGCTCTCGTCCCGTCCCAGATTTATTTTATTTTTAAAAAGATAATTATATTTATAATAAATTAATTTTACTATGTCTTTTTATATATAAATAAATATTTATAATTTATAGTTATTATTAATTAAATATACATTTTAATTTATTATATTTATATTAAAATATATATGTAAAAGAAATATTTAATTATTTTTTATTTATATATATATATATATATATCTAATATTTATAACATTATTATTATTATTATAACATCTGTATTCAAATATTTTAATATTTATAATATTATTATTATAATACTGTATTCAAATATTTAATTATACATATAAGTTAATTCATTTTTAAGTTGTCAATATATAGTTTATAAGAAAATATTTAATAAGTTAATTCTTATTTAATTAGTTTGAAGTAATAAAAGTTTAAATTATTAATTTCTTTTAATCCTTTAAAATACAATTATTTTATTAAGATAAAATTTGATATATGATAAATAAGGATAATAAGATAAAAAAATATGACATAATAAATATAAATTATAAATAAACTAATATTAGTTACTACTAAGATTGATGTAAAATATTTAGAAAAAGATAAAGAAAAAAGATTAACTTTGTGTTCATCAAATTGGTTGAAAAAATTGAAATAAAAAACAAATTGATGGGAGAGACTAAGAAAATGTGAAAAAGCTGAGAGAGAATAATATAATAAATTAATTGATATAAAAAATTGAAAAAGATAAAAAAAAATAAAAAGTGGGTAGAAGAAAAATAAAAAATTGGTGAAATATAAAAAAAATAACCTTATATGTAATAGAAAAAGAAAATGAAATACTTTTGAAATATTAATATTTTAAAATTTAAATTTAAATATAAAGTCGGGGCGAAGATGGGGGCGGGGCGGGGTCGAGGTCGGGGTGGGGATTGCATTACTCATCCTCGCCCGCCTTCGACTTTTAAAGCGGGAAAAATTTGAATCCGATCCCGCCCGGTCAATTCGGGTTTCTCCGTCAAACTCGGGACGGGAACGGGTCAATCCCCACATGTACCGGTTTAATTCACAAAATCAAAAGATGAGAATTATTTTTAAAGCAAAAATAATTAAATAGGGAGACAAAGTAATACACAAAAGAGAAAGAAAGAAACATATTCAATTATAATCGTCAAACACTTAAAATCTCTTTTTGAACTATTGGGCTATTATTTATTTTACATGAACACTTCATTCTTAAAATTAATTACATTTTCTATTATTGGTCTTTAACTACATTGATATTTCATAATTTTTTTACTTGTTAATAGTGTTTTTAAGGAATGTAATATAGTAAATTGAAATCTCACGAGTAAATCCTACAATCTACATTGAATTGTGATACGAATGAAAGTAATTTTTTATATATAAATTTAATTCAATTATTATAATAACTAACTAACCTAATACTTCGTTTCCTCTCAATTATAAGACACTTGGGGACAAAAATGTACAAACCATGCAAAATAATTAATTTATCTAATTTTATTGAATTTTTAATTATTATTTTAAATTTCATTTTTACCCTTATTAATAATTACTAAACCAATTAATAACAATATACATATCCATGTTTTTAACAGGGACATATAGAGAGAAAAAAGTTAATTGAAATTGTTAAATGTCTTACACTAAATTACATTACGGAGATAATCGATAATTTTAGAAATAAATGGATAACAAAAATTTTAAAATTTAACATATAAAGAAATTTGTACAATATAATTTAATATTTATTTATCTTTTGTTTTTTAGTCAAAATTAAAATTATATTTTACTTAAAATATAAATTTTTTTATTTTACTAATTAAATATATTAGAAAATAAACAAAACATTAAAAAAAAAAAACCTTTTTTCGTCAACCATAATTATAATTATAATTATAATCGATGTGGAATATACATTTTCTACATGTAAACAATGATAATCTATGTTGCATGTGTAAGTCTGCTCTTGACAACTTCTAATGGAGGCAACACAAAACCTATCACCCACTTAGATGAAGGGCAAATTTTTACAAAAGATTCATTGAACACTGAGATTTCAGAATAGACCTGTCTCGCTTATTTATTTCGTTAGGATAATGAAAAATAATATTGCAATTAATACCATTTCCTTTACTAAGGAAAAGTGATTTCAGAAACAGGTAGAATACAGACTCTATAAGGCATATCAGACTCATGAACACAACCAGGTAAACCAGTTTGATTATTCCTACATCGAATTCCAAAACCAAAGTAACTAACGCTTGTGGTCTTGAGTCTTCACCACAGTCACAGGACAGGTTGCATTATTCACCACAAAGTTGCTGACGCTACCCATTATGACCCTGTAAAAAGAAAATGAAAAAGGAATGGTTCCCTCAGTATCTCATGAATCAGAAGCAAGTAAAAACCCTTAGCATGCCATGCTGTGTTTTGGAGGAGTTGGTTGAAATAGTAGGTACCTTTGGAGCGTGCCAAGGCCTCTGTTTCCCATGATAAGGGAGTCTAGAGGTACTTGATCAACTGCTTCACATAACTTCTCTCGAGCATCTCCCCAATAGATCTTCATTAGCACCATAATCTGCCACCCCAAAATCTTGGAAGTTAATCTTATGTCATAGAATGTACACAACTACCAAATAATACTTTCTATGTTAAAGAGTAGTAGAATAGAGAGACCTCTCTAATATTGGAGCAAGACATCAATGACATGTTAGACTTTCAGCATAAAACCTCTGTGCATGTCTGAAAGTAGTTTATCTAATTGCACCTATACAATCAGGCATTAAGTGTTGAGATTGATCTCTTTATAGGGTTACTCATCAACTGACAAAAAATTGCATCAAGATTCCCCAACTCAACTGATGAAAAAACAAGAGTTTGTACACCATGTTAACCCATATCAAATCTACATTCACTACTTACGTGTTTTTTCAAAGACCCTCAATGCGATTTTAAATAAATATACTTTTTGAAGAAAGTTTTTACAAGATAGAACTTTCCTTAATGCATGTCAATTTAATGAGTATAATAAACTTTTATATTCCAACATTACTCGTTGTAACTAAATTAGAGTTGTTTTTAGTCTAAAAATTAGGATTGAGTTGAGTCTGTTCTTCCAAATTATAACAGTCGGATCAAAATTAAAAGAATTCATACGTTTTTTTGCCGGGCAGCAGTTTGGACAATATCAATTACTGCGGGTTCAGGTTTAAATTGATATTTCTTCATGGCCGCAGGCTCAGCGAACTCACTCAGAGGTATGAGAGCTGCATTTAGATCAATACACACACTTAATAAGCCAATTAAAATCCGCCACTCCCCAAATTAGGATCCGCAACACGACCACGGATTAATTTTTGTTCTACATATATTTTTACGAATATGCGAAATAAGGGATTAGGGTTGCTAACGTGAGCCAGTGGTTTCCCAGAGCTGCATCTCGCCGTGCTCGTAGGTAGCGTGGCGGACCACGATTAGAATGAGGTGATCCCCTTCTTTGACCACGTTATCCAGCGTCCAGTTCAGTGCTTTGATGCTGCACGCCGAGAAATCAATGGCCACGCCCAATCTCCTAGCACCTGCCATTTTCTTCTCTCTCTCTATAACACCTACGAGTGGTCTCTTAGTTTTTGTTTTTTTTGTTTTTTACTTGTGTCGGTGTGAAATGGAATTCTATTGTGGTTTGTTGCTTTTGTTTGTGAAGGTTTGACATGAAAGAGCGCAATTTGTGAGGCTGATACTGAAAGAGCGGCAATTGCGTCCTGCGTTAGTGGCTCACACAGTTGGTTCCACACATTTCCTGACTTTGAATTTGAGGTTCGATAATTATCACCGTTGGATCAGATTCAAACATTTCGTTTCTTGTTGTGTAACCCGTAACTATGGAAAGTTCTTGGATTGGGAACAGATGTAACAGTGCACACTTATTTTCAATCTTATTTTCAATATTTCTCGCTTATATAATTGTTATTTGAAGCCACTCTTTCAACCAAGTGTTACGACTTATAACATTAGCATAAAAATTTGAGTTATATATAAAAAAGAAAAGTAAAAAACAATATTTTCTCATATCTTTAATCAAATTTAAATTATAAAATATAAAATTATTAATTTCTTAGTGTTATTGACAATTTTTTGCCGGTAATTTCAGTTGTTTACATTATAAAATTGCAAAACACATTTTTTTTTGTTTTTCAATATATAAAACAATTAATTAATGTGTCTAATTGGAGATAATATCAGTATCTTACTAATTTTTAATTATATTGTAATCCATCTAGGATGAACATTTTATTATCTACGTGAGTTCCTGGTGGGAGTGTATTACTAGCAAGTAGTACAAGTTTCCAACACTACCCAGTAACAACAGGATCAAAGCAGTTTCCCTGATTATTTCACTTCTTCAACCATTATTCTAAAAAAAACAAATCAAACTATTCTCCAAACCTTAGGCCGGTGGTTTTCTCTGAATCTGGTCTGAAGTTCCCGATGGGGTTTTGGTGGTCCTTGCTAGTTCTAGCACTCGCTTTCGCCATCTGCAAGTTCCTTCTCATTCTCATTCCTCCCAAGGTTCCTTCTATCGATGTCGACGCCTCCGATGGTACTCTCCTTTTGCACTCCCAATCGCACGTTTCGACATTGAAATGTAATGTGAATTTATTATTATTACTGTTATCACAGTGTTGGACGATGGGAGCGAAACACCGGACGACTACATATATGTGAGTGTTTATGCATCTTCAATTTAATGTTTTCGAATCGCTGTGTAGTGTTATATATATATATAATATACATCGATTTTATGCTTTCGCGTTTGTGTGATCGGTGTGGTATGCTTTTGTTTGAAACTTAAAATTCGAATTCACATTAATCGCAAATGCATGTGGTGCCGCTGAATCGATATAGTTTAGGGATTGACTTCTTCCCGACGTGGCACCTAGAATGTTATCAACTAGAGTTGAGGTTTGTAATTTGGCATTCTGTGTTGTGGAGAATATGGCTGATTCGGTGTCATTGATGATTGATTCCTTATCAGGTGCCTCCAAGGGGAACGACGCAGCAATCGAGCGGGAAAGTTCAGTGCTATGAGCCTGCTACCATGAAATATTTGGGATTTGTTCCTTCGTTGACGCCTGATGAGGTTTGTGAGCCTATGCTTATAAGGAACTGATCGTTTAATGCATGCTTTTAGTATCTAGTTTCGGCAACATTTGTGTTTAAGATGCACGCTTTTTTTTTTTTAATTTTTTTTTCCCTGGGTATTTTCTGTATAAATTTTGATATTTAGGAATAAGAATATTAGAAATTTCTGTGCCTTACGAAAAGTTCCAGACCCAAACAAGTAGTTTATAAGGGTGTGATGATAAACTAATCACATAAGAAATATGCTAGTTGTGCTGAAGTTGATATGCCATTAGCTTCGAGCTAACCTTGTTTGCTAAAGTTTCAATTTTGCCATTTTGCATGCTTCTCTATGTTGAAATGCAAATTCAACGGAATTCCATTTAACGTGTAATTTTATTGATCTTCAATATGAAAATTGCTTTTTGCTGATATTGACAACCTTTTGGTTTCCATCCATGTATTATTTTTCGTGCCTATGAATGTGTGTTAAGCCTGGGCCTAGTTTTATGGATTGTTTAAAGTCCTCATGGCACTCTAAATGATACATGTCAGGGTTAGAGTCACAGTCATGGGTGGAAGTAAGCCGAGTTGATTCTAACCCAGCAAAAACACAGTGCAATGACAAAGCACTTTTCATGCTCTTGCAGAGCTTACGTGACTTGTTAAGAAACTGAATTCCTTTTACTGGGTCAATCCTATCTTTTTATCTGCTTCAGCTTGATCCTTTAGTCAATAATCTCTTTCTTTACTTTTTATGTACTTTAATTGAAAAATATAACTAAAAAGTGAAGTTGCTACATGCTCACACACACACACATACACAAAAGCTAGTCAGAATTGAACCAGGCAATCGTATGACTTTCAAATTTAATGCTACCTTCCGATCCCTTGCACACTGAAGGTTTTTTTCTGGAGTGATTTCCTAAGATCACTATGTAAACTTGTAAAAAATACTAGAATTGGTGTGTCCTTCCATGAGTTAGGCTCCTGCAATGCTGACAGGTTGGCAACCTGTGACATAAATCGATGATTTATACCAAATCTGAATTCTTTGTCCTCTGATTCCCCTAACCACTTTCAATCTCAATCTTCCAGTCTGTCAATCTTTGTTCCTGGTCGTCTCCTAACTTGCAATCTAAGCCTTTGCTCTCCATCATTATCTGCTGAAACTTGTCTGAGTGGTTTATCTTATTATCCGTACCTAACATCAGTTCCAAGAGGTCCACGTTCATTTTTCTGTTCATCTGTTTTGCTCTTCAACTTTACTTCTTTGATCTTTTGCTTTTCTTTTTGCATTTTAGCTTCTTATCTGTTGTCTAGAATCTATGTATTTTATATTGTAAGGTTTAGCTTGTACCTTTAGCTGAAGTTCTGACATGTGACTGTTGAATGAAGAATAGGATGAAATAGCTTGAGTGAAAACTGAAAAACCACTTGGCTAGGATCTAATCACTAACAGCACTTACAAAGCCACATAGAAGATTATTTTATTCACAATAAGAAGTTCTTGCAAAGTATTCATAAAATATTAGTTGCCAGTTTGATTAGATTCACAAGTAAAAGTATGGCAAGACTTAACTAGAAATATGATGCATGTACGAATAGGTAAGGGAGCAAGTAGAGAAAGTACGGAAGGCACAAAAAATGTGGGCAAAGACGAGCTTCAAGCAAAGGCGCCAGTTTTTGCGTATACTTTTGAAGTATATAATTAAACATCAAGCACTTATATGCAAGTAAGAGCAGTTCTTATCCATGGTCATTGAAAGAAGATTTAGGCGTTAGTATTTTTTTAACTAACAGAATGTTGATATACTAGAAAGCATGCAAGTGTCTTCTGTTTTAGTTATCACATGGTTTTATTCATTAGTCTAAAATATATATGAATTATGCTTATTGCTTAAGAATATTAACAACTTTCTTGAGTATAGTCTAATTCGTGTGCTTTTACCAGAATATCTTCACGTGATACTGGAAAGACAATGGTAGATGCCTCTTTTGGAGAAATAATGACAACATGTGAGAAGATAAATTGGCTACTTGCAGAGGGAGAGAAATGCCTAAAACCTGAGTACCGGTACCTGCCTCAATCTTCTCTCTCACCTTTTCTTTTCCTTTTCAATTTGGACCTAAAAACTGTTAGATCTATACATATTTTTTGTAAGTGGGTACACCATATCCCTCCCCCACCCTACCCCCAGTAATTTACACTTTCTTCCTTCTAAAGGTAACTGTGGTAGATTATCTTTATCAGTTGTTTTTAATGTTCCTATAGGTTATTGCCCTGAAATTGTAAAGTTTTATAATTTTTGCATATGCTCATTGATTATTTTAGGAAAAGAGGTATTACCCTTTTAATATACTTAATGACATTTTATGCTAAAATTACAGATTTTCTTAATGCATTTTCATGACTAGTTTTTTTGTTTTGTGATAAATAAATAAACTATAGGTCCTCTGGAAGAGCGATGTTTCATAAGAGAGCCAGAGTAGAATTTCATCCCCTTGGTGTTATCGGTGCCATTGTGTCATGGAACTATCCTTTTCACAATATTTTTAACCCTATGTTGGCAGCAGTTTTTTCTGGAAATGGGATTGTGATTAAGGTATAAGATGACATAATGTCTGCTACCTACCTATCTAAAATTGTTTATTCCATGAATGCACTACGACTTTTTAAGAATAAAAATTGTTGACTGATATGCTTTCATAGTGATTATATTACATTCATTGACAAACTTATGTTAGATTTGAGACTATGCATGCGTTAATACCTGCTCTGCTCTCACTAGTTACTATAAAATTTATGTTTTGAATTTGATAGAATCCATGTGATTCTGATTGTAGGTGTCAGAACATGCTAGTTGGTCTGGATGCTTTTACTTCCGAATCATCCAATCAGCCCTTGCTGCTATAGGAGCTCCGGAGGACCTTGTTGAGGTGATAACAGGGTATAGCCTTATTTTGTACCTTCCTTATTCCCTTTGGTTTCAGTCACATCTGCATGTATAGTCTTAATTGGGCTTTTCTTACCAGGTTTGGTGAAACAGGAGAAGCACTAGTATCTTCTGTTGACAAAGTCATTTTTGTTGGATCACCTGGGATCGGCAAGATGGTATGATTCCTTTCCTATCAAAGTGTTCCATCCTGTCCTCTCATCTCTAACCTGTATTTAATAATAATAATAATAATAGTAGTAGTAGTAGTAGTAGTAGTAATTTTTTTCCAATTCTACAAAAGTTGCTGAATGAGATAAGCATGGTAGATGTTCCATAAAGAAATTCAAGGGAGTACAAGGTCAAAGTTTAACTGAGTTGCTGTAGCTAGAAAAAAAAGGGAACTAACTTCGAAGTTGTTGTAGACCTCTAGTTTAGAGTATGTCTTTGAGGTAGAATGAATGCAGGGATAACATCCACCTTTTAATGCAATAAGAAGTATTTGTGCCCTGATGATATGCTACATTCTTTTATACAGATAATGAGCAATGCTGCCGAGACACTTATACCAGTTACACTGGAGCTTGGTGGAAAAGATGCATTTATTGTTTGTGAAGATGTAGATGTGGATCATGTATGAATCCCTTCCAACTTGGCTGGAAAATGTTAACCTTGCAACATGATGGAATATTCGTTCTTGAATGCTATAGTTTTAACTAGCTGATCTGCTGAATGTAGGTAGCTCAAATTGCTGTCAGGGCTGTTCTTCAGTCAAGTGGGCAGAACTGTGCTGGGGCTGAGCGACTTTATGTCCACAGGAACATTTATGCATCCTTTGTCAGTAAAGTTACCAAAATTATAAAATCTGTTACAGCTGTAAGTGTCAATTTTAAACATTTCATTGGTAAAATGTTTTACTGCTGCATCTTTCTTCTTGAGTCATTACGAGCTTTTTAGTTACATGTGCTTGAACTTATTGTTACAGAATTGCTATTTCAGATCAGCTTGTCTTACCTCTGTTATAGTCATGTATGAAATTGTGGGGACCTTGATAGGAACTAAGTATTTGTTACGGAAAAAATTTGGGATAAACCCCAATTGTTGAGAGTTGATAATGACTCAACCTGAAACAATAATAGAACCTAATAGATGTTGATTCATGATATTTTTACCTTGTCCTTTTTAATGTTAAATTTTTCCTCTCTTTTTTTTTTATTTTTTATTTTTTTTTCATTTTCCTCCCTTTTAGTAGCCCCAAGTAAGCATAACTATATAAAGCTTTTCAGAGTTAAATTATTTTCTTCAACTAAAATACTGACTCTATATCTCATCTGTCTTGACACACATACATCTGAATTTCTAAAGCTTTAAAAGGCTAGAAATTGATATGTAATGGTCAACTAGCAAATTGATAGATTTTACTCAATTTATTCTTTTAGGTGTGAAAAATTTACTTGTGGTATCCTCCAATTTTATTCCGAAAAATAGTTTTTCCTCAAAATAAAGCTTGGGGAACCTGGATTAATGACTCAGAGATAGGGAAGGGGGTAAAAGGGTCAGGAACTTGGATAAATCCCACACATCGGTTGAGAATTGGGAACTGCTATACTTATACTATCAAGAACCCTTTTTCATTGATTAGTGGAGAATAGGCATCTCCCTCAAAACTAGTTAGTATTAAGAAATCCCTTTCCTAAAGTTTTTTAGTTAATGATTTCTTGCAGGGCCCACCACTTTCTGGGAAGTATGATATGGGAGCTTTATGTATGCATGCACATTCTGAAAAGCTTGAAGGCCTTATAAATGATGCCTTAGACAAAGGAGCTGAAATTATTGCACGTGGAAGTTTTGGACATATAGGTGAAGGTGCAGTTGATCAATATTTCCCCCCTACAGTGATTGTGAATGTGAATCACTCAATGAGATTGATGCAGGAAGAGGTAAAACAACTTGGTGTTTTCTCTGCCATAGTCATTGTCATTTTTTTTTGACGTCTTTATTAAGTGATACGTGATCAACCATATATGTTGCATTTTGACCTTAAAAAAATTGTTCTATCTTGACTAGAAGGTATTGGAGATTTTTAAATATGGATAATTATGTCCCCCATGTCATATATGTAATGTAATTATGCATTTATATTAAAAAATATCTTTCTCTAAATTTTATATTCTTCAAAACTGTTTACTTGATTCATCTGTAATCTCAATGACTTCCAGGCATTTGGACCAATCATGCCAATTATGAAATTTAGCATTGATGAAGAGGTTGTCAGGCTTGCAAATGATTCAAAATATGGGCTAGGGTGTGCTGTTTTCTCAGGCAGTCAGAGCCGTGCTAGAGAGATAGCTTCCCAGATACATTGTGGGATTGCTGCGATTAATGATTTTGGTGCAACATATATGTGTCAGGTGAAATTTATTTTACTATCTTATCTTCATCTCTCAGAAGGGGGTTGTCCCGAAAGAGACCTTAGTAGCAGTGATATGATACATATGTTATATTCTTAGCCAATTTGGCTAGGAACCAAATGTTGGCTTATTCATGAGAAAGATGAAATATCTTTACTGTTTTAATTTACTGTTAGGTCCACTTCAGCGCAAAATACCTGTTTGGAAGCAACGTCTGATTTAAGCAACAATATATATGAATGTTATATGAGAAGAGTTTAATTACTTTTTGGTTTTTTGACATGTAATTATGCAGTTCTTGTAACCAAATTGCCAGGATATGTTCTCAACTCAACCTAGGTTACATCTATACTAAATGATCTTTTAAGTTTTATACTGTATTTTAATGATGTCATGTAAGGATTTATAATTGAAAGATGAACATGAAATAAAAAATTATTTTGAGGGACTATTTATTATATATATATATATATATATATATATATATATATATATATATATATATATATATATATATATATATATATATATATTCTAGATTTAGTTTAACACTTTCATATATTTTAAAGAAATAAATTGATTTTTCGATACTAATTATAATTTCCACTGAATTAAAGTTGCATAGTGTATTTTCCACCATTTCAGTCCCTGCCATTTGGGGGTGTGAAACACAGTGGATTTGGGCGATTTGGAGGTATCGAAGGTTTGCGCGCATGCTGCCTTGTAAAAGCTGTTGTTGAAGATAGATGGTGGCCATTCATCAAAACCGTGATACCGAAGCCTCTTCAGGTTATTCTGGAAAACCTTTCACTTTTATATGTTATTTTACTTCACTTGGAGTGGAAAAATATACTGAGATGGTCTTTTTCTCTTCCCTAGTATCCTGTAGCAGAAAATGGATTTGAGTTCCAGGAGTCGCTTGTTGAAGCACTATTCGGACTCAGCGTATGGGACCGGTTGCAAGCATTGGTTAACGGGTTGAAAATGCTTAATGAGCAGAACACTACAAGTGGCAGCAGAAAAAATAAAGATGACTAATCGTGTCAGAACGGGTAACATTCCAAATGGTTCTTATTCATATCATCAAAATGTTCAAATAATTGAGGGCTTTTGGTTTGTCGTTTATCTCCAAGACTAACTGTGATTTGCGCTAGTCATTATTAACTACTGCCATGTTACTGTGCTTATTCGATGGCAATCCTGGGCTACTTGATTATTTGATTCATAAACATTTTGCCTTTTTTGATGCATTTGTCTATTTTGGTTCTAAAACTATATTATGGCATTCTTTTTCAGAACTGTTTTTAATGTAAAAAAAAAGTTGTCTGAGAACATGAATTTGAAAACCTTGTTTTATGTGGGGCATGAGTCTGTGGGACTTGTTGGCGAGGAGGAATGATGACCATGGCTTGGGGCACCGTCCAACGACGCCTAGGTGGGGGGTGCTTTGCCAAGTGCCTGCTGGTTCTTGTGGTGCTCCACTCCCGACATTGTTGGGTAAAAAAGATTCATCTATCGGTGAGTAACTCATCAGACGAGGAATAGGGTGGTTCTTGGGTTCAGTTACATTAAGATGAAGTGTGTAGAATTATAGTGTGGGGGTGACGAGTGATTGTGGTTTAGAAATTATTTTTTAACCTTTCAACCATGAAATAATTAATTTACAACATTCTCACCGTGAAAACAGAAGGATTCTGAAAAAAAATGTTTGTTCTCGTTTTTGAAATTCCAAACAAAAATGACGTTTTCCTATCATTTTTTTCTTCTTGTTTTAAAATATAAAATTGTTTTTTTTATATGGTATTTACCTCTTTAAATGAAGATTTTTGGGAAGTTAAAAGTGAGGATTAGATTTTACGTTCTCACTTTAGATAAAGGAAAATTAATAATGAAGCTCTTGTCTTGTATCATGAATTTTTACAATTTGTTTGTGATTTGGCTAAAACATTACTGACTTCTATCATAAAATTTGACGTTCATATGTTTTGTATTGTTATTATATAATTACTTAGCATATTCTTTATTTATTAATTTATTAATAATAAATATACATTAAAATTGCCAAGAAACGTTGAAATTAAGTTAGATTTATTTTGTTTGGGAGGAGGAACATACAAAGACGAAATAATATAAAACTGGAAATTTTGCTTTTATGTATTGCAAATAGACATATATAATATTTACATAATTGTCCCTAAACTTTTCTTTTTAATCCTAAGAGCATATCTGGTATCTTTTTCACATTGAAAATATAAAATATAAATTTATTCTATCACATTATTTTTAAACAATTTACAATTAATTTTATTTTAATAGAAATTCTATAAGATTTTTTTTTTCATGTCAGATGAAGAATTATCAAAAAAATTTAAACAAGTTACATAAAATTTCTATAATAGAAAGTTTATTTAAGTGACTGGGATTTAAATATTTTAATAAACAACTATCAAAATGTTCTAATCAATTATAACTAGTATTTAAATATTTTACGTGTAATTGTTTTTACAAACTATGTCATTAGTTTCTTATTTTTTTAAAATTCGCTTTTAATCTCTTAACTAATTTGTTACAAGTCTTATTATTTCGTGTTTTTACATATTTTATTTAGTCTTTCAATAATTTTTTAATAGCTCCATGTCTTAACAATTGGTTGGGATTATTTTCATTTTCTCTTCTCAACTATCACTCTAAAGACACATCAGCAACAGTATGACTTACATACATGGATTATCAGTTTGACGCATTATATACGTGGGAAAATGTTTAGTTTTTAGTGAATTTAAGAAGTTAAAGATTTTTGTTGACAGTGTACAACAACAAAAAAAAGGGGGTTTGAAATTTTGAAAAGACGTATTAAGCAAGATCAAGAAGAACCCTTTATACACAATCAAACAAACCATTGAACTATGACCCAAAACACAATCAACAATCCATGGTAAGCAAAATCAACAACAATAAGAAAAATTAAATAATTTAATCCACGATCAAAACCCCAAGCACAAAAATAAAATAATCCTTAATTTTCAAACCCTTTGAAACCCTAATCCTCAACTTCGCAACAAATTCTAAAATCCTTCCATTATAGTCTTTCTCCCACAATCAGTTTACTCCACGAGTAACATTGTATGCACAAGGCAAGGCATACACAAGGTGGTAATCGTGGCAAGAAAATGAGGTAATAATGACAAGTTCCCATGTTGTGAAAATTTTCAAGTAGTGTATTATGGGTTGTTGATTTTTTGTTTTTTTTTTTTTAATGCATCTCACTCAATATATGTTTTTAAAAATTTCCAAACACCTTTTTTCAATGGTTTCTCACCAAAAAAAAAAAAAAACTTGTAACGCCTTAAAATTTAAAAAATGTATCGAACCAATTTTATCATGTGCGTACTACGCTAAAGTAGTAGTCTACATAAAAAATTACACATAATTTCACATATTTATTGAGCAAGACTAAAACATTATTAAACAATAGTTAAGAATAAGTTAATAAGTTAATGATGTGCAATTCACAATGACATCATCACGTAATGGTAATACTTAATATGAATGAAAAAACATATTAATAAAAAGTGCATAAATACTACAGATTTTTTTTTTTTTAAGATTGAACACAAAATTCAAAAAATTTAAAGATAAAAATTAATTAACCCATAATTTAAGCATACCAACTCAGGACAGGAACAAAGTTATAGAATCACTTTAATTGAAAACAATTAGAAAGAAAAATTTGTTTACTATGTATTTAAACAGTAATAAGGTATTTGAATAAAAATTAGGAAAAGGTACAATGTGAAAATAAACTTTGTCCAATCAGTAAATTCCAATGATTTGAGATTTCGAACTTCAGAGTGGATTATGCTAAAATATTTATATCATAAATAAAATCAGACCTATTTTAATATAAATTGAATCAAACTATTCTTATCCGACCATGATTTATGAGTTTAATATAATATAAATTAAATCAAACTATTCTTATCTATATGAGCTTATGTCATACTAATTGAAGATTTATATGGACATTCGTTATATAAAATAATAAATATTTTTTAAATAAAAAATAATAATATTATTTTATTAAAAAAAATATATATATATATATATATATATATATATATATTATAAATGAATTTAATAAAGATTTATTTAAAAGTAGATATTTGATTAAATCTTTAATAATCACTTATTTAAAATTTTTATGATTAAGATTAATTATTATTTTAAATTAATAAATTATTAAAAGTAAATAATGATAATAAAAATATTTTTTAATTCTTATTTTAATATTAAATAGATGATTTTTTATAATTTATATATTACATTATTATATCTTAAATAAAAATTACTTTTATTATTAAAATTTAAATTCTCAAAATATTTTATTTTTATTTTTATTTAAATATTTTTTTAATTAATTATTTTTGTATAAATATATTAATATTTTTTAAATAATTCAATCAGAATAAAAATAGTTTATAATTAAAATTAGGCTAAAATTTTTCAGCGTGAGTTAAACTAAACATCAAAATTTTTATTGGATGCGGTGGAGCCAGAAAAGAGCGCACAATTTGACATGGGAAAAGCAACATAATAAAATAGAAATCTACTCAGATTCATTTCTTCTCGTCATCACCCATTCCCTCTAATCAAAACAAAGCCTAAGATTGCCTACACTTGTCCTCTCCAAACCCCACTTGGTAGGAGCCATGTGGTTAGGGTTCCCTTTATCTCTTCTTTTCTCCAATTATCACTTTTACTAATTCTTTTTATTTCGAAAAAGATGAATAGATTTCCAACATGGTGGTTCTGGAAGGCACAAGGTTTGATACAGTTCGTATGAATTGGCAACATGCAGGATGAGGTTTATTGGAAGAACAAGAGCAAAGGGCCAAAGATTACTTATTGCCACGCTGAAACATGACACACATTATAAAGCTAGGTGGCGCAGAACACAGAAATTTTCCACAAGATCTTTCTGGTGGAACAATCAATAATTAAACTCCTTGTCAGAAATGATAACTTCTTTTTCCTACCATAACAGAAAATAGAGAGATATACATCGGTTGCTTATAAAACAAAGTAGGAATCTGACAAATGACATTGCCATAACTCCATGTTTTACGGTATTTTCTGTCATTTACAATTGCTTTCGATGACAATCTCTGTAGCAGGTGGTGAAGGACACAGCAATTATTAGTTTAGTGACTAAGCAAAAAGAAGAGCGAATATTCAGAGGGTTATTGAACTGTATCCCATTCTTCTTCCTCCGCCAGTACCCTCATCCAATCACGTGCTCTTCTCTTTTATTTCAGTATTTGCCGCCTCTATAATGTAATAATATGCATTTCATCATTTCTCTACATGCCCTCATTTTATGGTTCAATTTATATGCCAAACAGCTACAATTTCTACTTCTTAGACTTCTAATTGATCTCTGAAAACGTAAATTAATCGGTGTAGAGTTGTTTAAGTTTGGTTAGAAGAGTATTCATGAATTGCAGTTGTAGTATGTGACTATACTCAATATTTTAAAAGAAAACTTTCTATGTTTAAGATTGAAAATAAAACAATATGTGAATAGTTTAACCTAATGTAAGTAGTTTTAACATAATTTAAGCAAACAATTATTCTGTGGTAATGAACGAATTGAATTGCACATCACGGATAATATTATTAAGATTTATTATTATAAAATATTATCATTTAAAACTTTAATTTATCATGATTTTGTTATAAAGTGTCTCAATGTTAATGGTTTTTTTAAAGCATTCCTACATCCACCTCTCTGTAAAATCAAGATAAAGCTGTTCTTATTAATCATGTGCGCCATATAATAAGATATAACTGCAGACTAATAATCACGATATCATTGTGATATTTTCATACGGACGTTTAAAATGACAAACAATATATATATATTGTAATGTCTGCACTTTCACTTTGATTCCTAGTCTTCATTTGTTATTGAAAGAGAAAATATGGACAAATTGTCCATAACATGAAACCGAGGAATCGGGATTTGCTGGAGTTGGGGAACAACAGCTTTAATTGTGCTCCACTTTCTTTGTTCAACCATTCAAAAGCTATATATTAAGAATAAAAAATCTTGTCTGCAACTAAGTTCTAAAAGAATGTATTTAAAAATTCTTGAATAATACCAGATTTAGGAACGTATCAAAATAATATATATATATATATATATATATATATATATATATATATATATATATATATATATATATATATATATGCATATATTTATTTTGCATGATTGTATCTAGAAACATATGAACACTGTCATTTTCTTTCTCAATGATACTATTGGTTGCAAAAACAAATAACTACATCTATGCTTTTTAGTTCTTGAACACGTGAAAAATACAAATTTAAAACTAAGATATGTTGAATAATGTGGTGATTCTTACCAGACATCTCACACATATAATCTCTATTTTGATAATTACACATGACAAAAGACATGAAGCTGTTCATGTCGGTATATTTGGGATACATTCAAGGTATTAAGGTACACACCTCTTAACATTTTTCTCAATCATCCATCAAAAACCACTACTGAAAGAAACAGATTCAGTATTTATTATTATCACAATTCTGGCTTTGACTTTAGGTCACAACCAGTGGAGTTAAGAAATTATTTATTAGCATCTGACTAGGATAGTAAATTCATGGATAATTTTGTTTCAGAGAACTTGAAAGAGGGTACTGTTTTGGATATATGTATTAATTAAACAATTCAAAACTTTTTCTAGGAAAATCAACTTTCTTTGCAAACTTTTCAAAATGTTTTGTCTCTCTTATCCAGAACCACTAATATATAAATTTCCCCTGATGTTATATTTGGATACTCAGGTGAATGTTTCTAACTCCTCTTTTAATGCAATTGTAACGAACAATGACTCAACTCAAATGAAAAACCCTAGTGTGCCAATTAAGTTTTTGTTTTTTTTAAATACAACGTGAACATTCAAGAATAAATTTGTTAAAGTTTGCTGTAATTGTAAATTAGCTAGTAGTAGTTTTTGCATATTAAAATAAAAATGGACCTTCTTTTATAGAAAATTTATTGGACTCTAAATGGGATCATGTAATCAATAACTTTTCTTATTGTAATCAATTTTCCGAAAATATAATTGATTAATTTCATCATAAAACAAATTACTTAGTTTATAATGACATTACTTTAATGTTATTGCAAATATGTTAAAAAAACTAATTAATATATATATTTTTTTAATAACTATACTATTTTTTGTACTCATTCCATAAATATATTATCTTGAATAAAAAAATGATTTAAAGATATATTAGAAAAATAATACTTGTGAAAACATCAATTATTTTAGAATGGATGGAGTACTATATATATAAAGTTGGTTGAAATTGTTGTATAATATTAAATACAAAAATATGTACATGAATATCACTCTATAACCAAAATTTAAGATTGTTTGGTTACTTTTACAAAAATATTATCACTTACTAAAATGTGTAGTGTTATTGAATACTACAATATATTTTAATCATATTAAAATTCTAAATCATATAGATAATATGATAATACTATTTTTGTTCATATGATTCTCAAATTCTTATATCCTTTACCATACATATATAATTTTCATATTATTTATTATTTATAATGGAAACTTATGTTGCAATATAAATTAAAAGACTATATTAACGTAGAGATCTCTATGAATTTTCTTTTCTCTCCCTTCCTCTAATTCATTAATATGATTGAAAAGTTTTTTTTTAATTTATATTATTAAATCAAGAGACATCATTTTTGTTAGTCATAAGGGAACATTTATCCTAAAAGTATACAATGTTTCTTCGTGAAATTCTTTAGAGTGTATGTTCATGTCATGTAGCAGAATCATATGACCAAAAACCTGCATATATTAGGCCTGGTTCGGTTGATTTAACTTCACAAGGCATCATCACTCATCTCATCATTCTACTTTGTCACTTCAATCACATTCGCCAGCATCAAAACAAATTTGAAATAAAAATAAATAAATAAATAACAGGACAAGACAATGCTAATTTCAACGGCGAATCAATTCATGTGTTGGGAAATGCAGTAAGTTACTGTGATGAAGTCACGACAAGAAAACAAAATGAGCAAGGGAAAAAGAAAACAATTATTCGGCATATATAAGGGTTCAATGTGAATGTTGGTCAGTATAGATCCAAATCAAGAAAGATCCCATAATGATTTCCACTCCCACTGCCTCACTTGCTTCATTTAGCCAAAGAGAAGGAATGGTTGACCGTACAAGGAGCAATGTTCTTATAAGAGAATATAATGAAGATAAAGATGTTAAAATGGTGAGAAAGCTAGAGAGGAACTGTGAGATTGGGACTGAAAAGCTGGTCTCCACTTTTACCAACATGATGGGTGACCCTTTATCTAGGATTAGGCTTTTCCCCCTTCATGTAATGCTGGTGGGTGACTATCATATCCCTGTTGCTTTTCAAATACTCCACCTCCATTAAAACTTGTTTTCTTCAGATTTTCATTTTACTCTATGTTCTAGCATGAAACAAATATACATTTCCAAAAACATATACTGATGCATATTACATGATTAAGTGCATACCTGATCACATATATGGTTCATATAATGACTTTCAGGTAGCTGAGCTTCTTGAGAGCAGGGAACTTGTTGGAGTGGTTAGGGGAGTCATTAAGAACGTGGGGACTCTTTCTGGATCTCTCTTGAAGATGGGTTACATCCTAGGCCTCAGAGTAACTCCTACGTACAGGTAATATACTCACTTTCTTTCATTTAATGACCTTAAAATATCTATTTTCGTTTCTGGTTAGTGAATTGATCCTGTAATTAATCTATTTTCGTTTTACCCTCTGAAATGGTCTTGTGAACCATTTGCATATATAAGGGTTAGAATATTTTGTAGACATTAAACTGTGCTCCGTAACTGCAATTGCAGGTGAAATTTTTTTTACAATTTTGCTAATTGTAATACAATGTTTTCTCAATTTGGCTAATTGTAATACAACCGCAGCTGTTAATTAAAACCCTAAGTCCTAGCAAAGTTACTGAGAATACATTTTGTCTGTAGGAGAAAGGGGGTTGCACTAAGACTTGTCACTGCAGTTGAAGAATGGATGGTGAGAAATGGAGCTGAGTATGCATTCCTAGCCACTGAAAAGGATAATGATGCTTCTAAAAACCTATTCACACTCAAAGGCAATTATGTGAACCTTGGCTCACTTGTCATATTTGTGCAACCAACTAGTGCCCTCACAAAGCATATTTCCAGGGATATAAAAATAGAGAAAGTGGACATAGATCTAGCAATTTCATTATACAGAAGAATCTTGAGGACCAAAGATTTGTATCCACTAGACATGGACGTAATTCTGAAGGAGAAACTCAGCGTAGGCACATGGGTAAGTTATTACAAAAAGGAGGGTTGGCTCAATTTGCGAAGCAAGGTAAACAATGAAGAACTTCTTAGCAATGAAACTTCAAGCTCATGGGTCATTTTTAGTATATGGAACACTTGTGAAGCTTACAAGCTTCAAGTTACAAAGTCTCAACTACTAAGGTTTCTTCTTACAACCTTAAATCATGCAAGAGAGAAAGTTTTCCCTTGTCTCAAAATGTCGGTGAGTGACTCACTTTGTAGATCCTTTGGGTTTCTCTTTCTTTATGGAATTCATGGACAGGGAGAGAACCTTGGAGAGCTCTTGGAATCCATGTGGAAATTCACATCAAGAGTGGGAGAAGGAATGAGGGACTGTAGGGTGGTCATAACTGAGTTAGGGTTTGGTGATCCACTTGCCGACCATGTTCATCAAACAGATTCCATCTCATGTATCGATGATCTATGGTACATTAAGAGACTTTCAAGCCACGTTGATGAAAAGGTTGATGAAATGTTGATGAGACAAGTGGGAAATGTGTTTGTTGACCCTAGAGATTTTTAGGTATATAGTCTTCAAGGGTTCTATGTTGACCTAAATTGGCTTGTACATGATCTCTGTCAGATGAAAAATCTGTTAATTTTAAGCAAGAAACAAATTATTAGTTACATTTAATTATGTGGACGATGTTAATATCAGTATATTTTCTGCTGTATCATTTTTTTCTCCTTTTTCTTCTGCACATTGTATTAAAACATTCCAATAAGGGAATTGTTGAAAGAAATTAACACCTCCAAATGCCTGTTCCTTTTTGGTCATTTGCTGTCTAAGCAGTTCACATATCATGAATCTTGTAAGAGAAACTGATAAACCAGAAAACGAAGTGATATTAACTTCATGCACAACTACTAAATGCTTGATAATCTCAACATAATTAATGTGTTTATCTATTTACATAGCTTAAGGAAACTTCCTTCATGGTTAGCACTATTCACTGTCCTTTTATATTTGTTTTATCGACCCTAGTGTTTAAGAAGGTTATTTTAATAATTAAAAAAAGTTTTCGAATTTCCTATTCTTTAAATACACACCCTAAGCTTTAATTTATTTTATTTGATTCTTAAATGTTACCCCGTTTTATAAATAGATATCATGATTTAATTTCTTTTTCATTAATATTTAAACTCTATTATTTTTGTGAAATAGAGACTTTGAATTTAATTACATTATATCATCACAATTTATTTTAAATGCCAATCGTTCACTATTCCTTTTTCTGTTTTATTACAATTATTTTTTTACACATTGAATAAGAAATACGTTTTATATTTTGAAATTATTAACTATAATACGTTTATTATATAATTACTCTATATTTTTTTCTACAACTTAAATCTAATTTAAAATTATTGTATTCATGTATATTAATATGTTTTGTTACTAATCATTCTTTACGCATAAAATGCGTTATCTAAAATTATAAAATATAATATGTATGTAATAATTTTTTAAAATAATATTTGTACAAAAATTATATATATATATATATATATATATATATATATATATGATTATTTGTACATAAAAATGTATTAGATATATTATTTGATTGAATTATTCATTTAAAAATAGTCCAATTTTTTTTTGTATTTTTCATACTAAATTAATTATAGTTGATAATAATAAGAAAACAATATAAAAGATGAAATGAAAATACAAAAACTTGAGTAAAACAATATTTGTATATTTAAGTCTATTATTTTATATTGCTTGTAAATTTTCTAGGGATAAAAAAAAGAAACGAGTGATGATTAATTTTTATATTACATATAATTTTAATATGTTATTATTAATCATAAAAAATATATAATAATAATAAATTATGATAAATGTATTATTTTTAGTAAAGTACAATGTTAAAATTGAAATAAAATGTAAAAATAAAACATATAATTAATAAAAAAAGACTAAAAAATGTTACGTATTTAAAACTAATAAATATTTTTGAAAGGATTAAAAAGTAGAGAAAAGCATTTTTACAATAATATATAATATATAACTAGAAAAAGAAAAGAAAAGAAGGATGTAGTTGAAAAAAATAGTTGGTAAAATCTTAAAACCGTATAATAATTAACTGATAAGAAATTTGCTTTACTCGGTCATGTTAAGAGGAATAAAGTACATTTCAAATAATGTGACCAAGGAAATTATGTTGTTGACGTGAAAGAATCACGTACTTGTTTTCAGAAACCTTGAAAACACAATGATAATGGACACTTGTGAAATTTTCGAATTTTAATAATTAAATGGATTCTTGTGGATACCACCAATGATTTGTGGTGGATGACAAGATCATACCAATGTTAAATTTTTTAGTACCAATTCAAACTAGTTTGCTATTTCTACTGATTCACCCACGACTTATAAATTTAAACTAAGTCAGTGTCATTCCAATTCAATAAGTAAATCAACAACTGGATTAACAAACTCATTAAATATATATTTAACCTTTAATTCGAAGTGAAAGGCTTGAAATTAAAAAGTACAACTACGTTACTGATTTAGTAGCTAATTTTTCTGTTTTTTTAATATAATTTTTAAATTTCAAGTTTTCTAAGAGGAAAGTAAACAGCAACAACATATTATATAAAAAAGATATAAATAATTTACTTATTAATATATTATCAAAATTGCCCCTATAGCTCAGTGGTAGAGCGTCAGTCTTGTAAACTGAAGGTCTGTAGTTCGATCCTGCATGGGGGCATCATATTTTTATTTTCTTTTTTAAAATGACTATTTTTATTTTCTTTCTATCTTTCTATTCTTATTTCCTTACTATCTTTCTATTTTTATTTTCTTTCTACTTTTAAAATGATTATTTTTATTTTCTTTCTAACATATTTTTAAAATGACTATTTTTATTTTCTTTTTATCTTTCTATTTTTAAAATGTAAAGTTTAAAATGAAAAACAAAAATCAGCATGATTGTGTATCAATCGTGAATATCAGTTTACAGTCGTCGCAATAGAATAAATCCGCCAAAACTTGTGGCCCAATTAGGCTTTATTCCAACAAGTGAAAAGAAAAAACATAATCTATAATCTCTCAATTTTGCCAAGGGCAAAATATAATTTTTACCAAAGTGGATTAACCAAGTTTCACCATATTTGCCGTTCATCGAATCTAAAAGAAGCTATCGCCATCAATTCACACTATTACCAACCCATCGCCTCTTTCGAACTGGCCTATGTGGCTTCATTTCACTTGTAACAACAATTGAAGAATCACAGTTGAGCTTCAAACTCTCTTCTGCTTCCTTTTTCATTGTGATGGGTTGCTTAAAGCGTTCCCTACGTTTCTCCATCTTGGCTAAAGAATCAAGAATCCTTTGACTGTCATATCCACCAATGCAATGGTCAGAACTACCTTCATTTTGTGACATTCTCTTCTTCACACTGTCAGTCACTGTTGGACCTTCAGAAGCATCTCTCCTGGATACAGAAGCATCCTCCGTGGATGACTCCCATTTTTCTGTTACAATCTGACCTTCCTCAATATCCGAGCTTTCTTTCTGCCCTTGATCTTGAAGGCTCTGGACCCATTTCTTAATTTGGAGGTTGCTCTCGTATTTTGGGGCGTCAAATTTGATGGCATTTTTATTAGATTGAGAAAAAGCCACTGGAGCTCTCCTCCGCTTCTTAGCAATCCCCTGATTGACATTCTCAAGATTACCATTGGACAAGACTCTGGAACTTCTCACTTGAGACTGTCACAAATTTGCAACCAAACCAAAAACCGGGAAAATATCAATCATCTAACGAAAAAGAAACACTTACGTGGACATATATTGCATCAAAAATACGAGCGAGGTGTTACAAATGTGAGTCACAAGGGTGCCACATATAAACATAGAAACTAACAGAATGATTATTAGCAGTAACAAGCAGAGCATTAAAAAGAAAAACATGGGTAAAAGTATTAGACACCTTTCGGGCTCTTTTTGTGAACTCAGTATGAAAAAATTTACAAGCCAATAGTCATTGAAGTTATGTATCCGCCAACTCATCTGCTAAGTACAAATCGAATTGGGTATACACACACTATTGTTTATGGACAAATTTACTCGTGATCTATACAAGAACTAAGTGAATATGGCACTGAAACTATCAATGAATTCAAGATAAACTAAACATGAAAAATGAGACTTATCACAAACGGAATGCGTGACCCATGTTTTTTCTTTTCATCTCAAATCAGCAATAAATACACCTTCATGCTGCCAATCATCCTCTGGAAATCATTTTAAAAGAACTAAAACTTCAGTTTAAGAAAAGCTCACACTAGCAGTCAGAAACTTTACAGTATACGTATGTTAAACACATAATAGGCAGCCAGGCGTATTTAGCAGAGAAAGGCAAATACCTGAAAAGGAACATTCTTATTGTCCAAAACACATTATTTCTACATAAAAACCAATGCAGGCTTTTGAAAGTGATAAAATAATACAACCATTTAGCAGTTCCATGCATTAATACAATTGAGTATAGAATGCAAACTTGACAAGTTGGGAAGAAAAAGAGAATGTCTTGTCCAATTCTCTGCCCAGACTACCTATAAAGGTAATCAAAGGCTAAACAACATACTATGCCCATTGAGATCTAAGAATAAATTGCAGTCTACCAATAATAGATACAAATTGGTGACAGATATAATATCTAGTAGAATGAGATATTCGAATCAATAAATATGTGCTATCTGATGTGAAGCTTCAATCAATCTAAACATAATGGAAACATACACCATAAACTCAACAATTATCCCATCCCATGAAATATATGGACGTGGCTGTGTTATGGTATGATCATCACCCATGTTGATGGCACCAAGTTAATCACCCTCACATTTCAAGGTACTAGTTCCGCAGGTGCAGAATGGTTTAGAAGCAAAATAAAAAGCGACAGAAATTTTATCTATTATGAACAATATCCAAAGCCTTATCCTACTAGAGGCAAAGTTGTCAAACACTGATGACATGACAATATTACTGCTGCATATACAATGTTACTAGACAATATGTGATTAATGTTTCAATTTCAGGGAACTACACAGATTTGCTTTACATGCTTGACCTGATATCCTCAAGAATTTTGCATTTTTGCTTGATATTGATGCTGAAAATCTAGAACAACATCACGATTTCGCATGGTCCAAATTTAAAATTCATTTTCAAAACAAATAAAAATTGAGAATTAAAAGATAAAACGTAGTTAGTATTTGGGAGTGAGGTAGTACAGTGAGCATTATACGAGTAAAGGCTGCCAAGAAGATATAAAGTGTAACATGTTGAATAACTCATTCATAAAGACAAAAGTACATATTCTTGACCATATTTTCACCATCTTTACCTTTCCTTCCCCATTAATCAAGTCAACTGATTTCCTGCATCTCAGCACTGCTTGCCCGCCCTTACTTCTGTACATAATCTTAGAGCTAGCTTTAAGATATTTCCCACAATCTCGTTTTGGCATATTTAGCTGCTGCCGCTGCAATGGCGTATCATCACTCTGCACCTTAGCACACAGAGTTGTTTCACGATGCCCATATATAATTTCATCCTCATTGCAGGACAGGAACCTAGCTGGGGACCTGTAAAACTGAAACTCTTCTACAGGATAAATTGGGAAATCGTCATCTTCAGCAGTGTCTGTATAATCACGTGACCAGTAACTGCCTGTGCTGTCCCTAGCATGCTTATCTCTCGCACAACCCCCAAAGTTTCCATTTACTCCTCTTGCACCATATCCATAATTTTTCACTGAATCTGTATAAGATTGTCTACAATACTTCAAATTTGAGGTATGGTAACGTTTATATTTCTGACAATTATCTTCCATTGTCCCAGAACACAAGTTATTCAAAGTTGAAGGGGGGTTGTCCCAAAGTCTTTCCTTACGGACAGATCTCCTCCAATCTCTATCATTATCTGGAAACTGCTGTTCAAAATTATTAAATGAAGATTCTATTTCTCTCTCAGCAGCAGAAGTGGACATTCTATAGCTCTTGATTACAAACTCACATTCATCAAAATCATCAATGCAATTACGGTTGATAAAATGGGATCTTTCATCCATTCTTTTCCTTTGAGTATCCCTTTCCTTATCAGGAAAAGATGAATGTTTCGGAAGAAATTGCCCAGACTCCCTGTAAGAGCAAGGACTCAGGTCATCAGCAGAGGACCCACAACCAAGATGATGCCAATCTCTATTTCTGTCCTCACTATTTGCAAAGCGAGGACCTAGTTCCGAAAAATAGTTCCTCACATCCCCATTTTTCCTCTCATATCGGTTTGTGTTATCCCTGAAGCTTTCTCGACCTTCATGATAATATTTACAGTGTCTTGTAACAAACTCATCAAAAACTTTTTCATTGCCATAACAGTAGGATTGTTTTGTTTTCCTATTATATGAAACATCTCTTCTTCTATGACTTCCAAAAACTTGCAGTTGATTTTTATGTCTGCCATAATCAACAAATCGATGACCCAATGGCAACAGATCTCTTGTACTGGACTTAAGGATGGAGGAGAGATCATTATCATTTTCAGTGTGCTTGTGCATATTATAAACAGGCTCATATCCACCACTTCGGTGCCTCCATTCCTTTCTGGATCTACCTCTAGTTCTCAAATTATAAGCTATAGTTAGTGTTTTTTTATTTACACTGTTGTTCTTTGAGTTCTTCCAATAACGTGGGGAAGATTCCTTCATGTCAGTTACACAGTTCAATGTTTTCCTTTTTATAGGGCTAAGACTTGTACCCTTTTCAACATGGACGCTGTTTTCTGTTGCCCCTGAATCACTATCACTATAGGAGGTCAAGCTATGCTCTTCATCTCCAAGTGACAATTCTGATTCAAGCCAACATGGATAAGAACTACATGGTTCAATGTCACCACCTCCCTCTGCATTTATTTCTCCCTCTGGCACTTCTGCGGTATCTTCAGAATGTTGATCCAGTTGATCCCGATGCCCATCTCCATCTGCACCAGATTTCGGGCCAATTCTGCGAAATGTAGAGTCCAGATATAAGTTGTGAATTGATTTCAAGAAAACATTGAGAATTCTAATGTGTCAATAGGGGAATTCATGGATGTCATTTACAATAAAGAATCAATTGAAACAATGAATGCTGACAACTATACACAAGAAATGATATCCACACAAGGGAAGCTAGTATATTTTATTTTGGGATATCCGAAGTTAGAGTGCTAGCGTTATGCAATGAAAAAGTTGAGGATGGAAGTTTTACATATTTGGCAAATAAAAAACCATTCACATATCTATATTACTTTATATGTTTATCTTTGAATTTGACAAATTTATCCATACTTCAAATATGGAGTATACAGAAAGGCAAACAAGCTTCAATGAAGTTCAAAACAGATCTATATTCAAGAATAAACAACAAAAATATGCATAGAATGCATCTGACCTTTTCAGAACAGAAGAGTCCTCTGCTTTTTTCACATCTTCCAATTGATCTTCAGACAGCACTTCATTGCGTTCAGTGGAAGAATTGAGAATACTTGTCTTATTGCCTGCCATAGATTCCCCTTCTAATGATGCATCCATTACAGAGCTATTGCCAGAACGAGAATAATCGTCAGAGGATTCAACCACTTTTATCTGCCCAAAACCAACAGTTATTACTACAAAGACGTATGCAGCTACAGCACAAAAATTGCTGTAAACAGAGTGAGTGCACACCTCTATGACATTAAAATCCCTATTACGTGGTCGTCTTACATCTATGGATGGTTGCCGTTCAACCATGCTGTCCTCAACCTGAATTGCTCTGCCTTTTGGCTGAATTATCAAATATCAGTCATCAAACAGTAGCTCATTATAAACATCCAAGTTCATATTTGCAAGTAACAATTAATATGATAACTTGAAGAAACTCACAAATAACCAAAATCTTTATAATTATAAGCAACAGATGGAAGGGGAGGGGGAGCTCTGAATGTTACTCTTAATTTGAGTGTGAGATGTGTTCCAAAATATTAACATAATCGTTCCATTTTAGCTAATAAATAAGGTCAAGCACTAACCTAGTGCACTTAATACAAATTCATCCCAATTATACTGTAAATAAACATGACTCTGAAAACTTGAACAATCCTAGTATTCTAACAAGAGCCAACAACTGAATATCTGCGTACCAATCCACAATCTGATGCAGGAAAAAGTACACTCCCTAACACAACTTGATCAGTTTGCTCTCTCATGGCTTCCTGAAATATTTATCCCGGTCACCAAGATCAGGCAAGAGAACTCAAAACAAATGACAAAACTATTTAATTGTTTTTTTATAAATATTATGCTAAACACCTGATTCCATTTTGCAGAGCCATCAAGTGAAATTCCAGTCTGCAAGGATGTTCTCCAAAGTTGCTCCTGTACAGGGTGTAACACTATTATCAATTAGGTATCTTATTAGTCTAATAAAACCAAATCTCAATTAATTCACCATTTTAGTGGTAAACAGGCAATCAACTGGGTAATACCGAAAACAGTAGCAGAAATTATGTGAGCATCTAAACAGAGAAACCAAGAGACAAGCATCTCGTAAAAGCTTTTTAAACTAAGATCTCTTGGATATAATAATATACCCACCAATGAAGCACAGTATAGTTTCCAAGTGCTCTCATCAAAACCGAAGTTAAAGTAGTCTGTAATATCAACTCCAGGAACCTTCCATGGCTTCTCCATAAATGTATCAATGTTTACATCAAATATACCCCTGCAATAGATAGGAGAAATCACAGTAGATGATAAGACATACAAATGCTAGCTAGAATAACAACATTAGCAAATTATCATATTCATAACATGCTATCGAACTGAACTCTGCATTGATATAATCACTTACTCACACCACAATCAGTTTATGAAAGTAACAAAATTCACCGAGCATTGTATGAACTGTACATCAAAATGCACACACTGACCAGTACCAAGGAAGAACCGATCCATATCCACATTGTCCAGCCACAGGATTTTCAGCAAGGCACACTCGAGAGGAGCCCACCGCAAGGTTCTGAATGCAGGTATCACCATTCCTCCTACCTTTATTCAAGGATGAAATGTAGGAAGTCATGCCCATTGCCGCATTGATCGCCAATCCTCGACTCCTACCACTCTATAGAAACAAACCACAGTTCGCCATAAACAACACAACTTCAACAATTTCAAACACTAAAGTAAAAAGGAAAATACCGAAAATACCACGCCATTTATCAACTCAATCTATCTTATATTCATCACTGTGTCCACAAATCCAAATCATCCAATAAGCAAAACAACTAGAAAAGAGAGAGTAAGTAGTAGCATCACCTTACTGACCTTATTACCAAACAATCTAGAACAGCTATCTTCACTGTCATCATATCTGCCGTCGCGCTCACAATCAACAACTCCAACAGGAGAATCCTCGTCATTCAACACGATTTTCAAACCGTCATCGTCGTCGCTATCACTGGCAGCGGCATAGTCATCATTCATCATGTCATTGTTCTTGTCCTCATCCCGGTTAACAATGTTACTGTTCACATCAAGTTTTTCTTCTTCTTGTTGTTCCTTGGCAATGACATTCGAAACTTCAACGTCCACGGCGTAGAGTTCGCCGAAATCGTCATCATCCTGAAACTCTTCCATTACCAGTGACTGCCTCACAGCCACCTAAAACCCCTAACAAACCTATAAATATCTCTCACACTTTCTTTTTCCAACTTGTGTTAAAATAAAACCCTTAGTAACCAAAACTATCTTTTCACTAAAACCCTTGCATAACATTCAACCCTAGCATGTTAGTAGTGAATTATAATTTCTTAATTAAATATTAGTTTGTCTTTAGAGAAGAAATACATATCGTCGTTTATTTCAAAGGGACGTTTGAGATTTTATTTTGTCTTTGCACATTTACAATTATTTTGAGAACAACAGAAAGGAAAAAAAATAGAATTTTGTATTAGAATGGTGTGATTTTTCTATAAATTTATTATAGAATAAATTGTAAAAAAATTATAAATTTGAATTACAATTTTTTTTTGAGGTTTAAAATCAATTTATATATATATATATATATATAAAATAAGAAATAGTACTGCTCATTCTAATTTTTATATTATAATTATAAAATAAATATCATAAATAATATATTTTAAAAAATACTTAAATATCTCTTTTTTATTTTTATTTTTCTTTCTTTTATATATTTTTTAATTTTTTGCTAGTTTTTACCTTCTTTTATATTCTTCTCTCACTCAATCTTATACTTCAATTAAAATTTGATAATGTGACTCATTTATTATTATTGAAAAATAAAAATATTTAAATGATCCAAAAATACTACAATTTAATATATTATATAAGAAAAAATATTATATGATAAATTTGAGATATTACAAATATTATTATTATTATATTATAATTATTAAAAAAATATTTATTTTAAAGTATTTTTTAATAAATATTTTTTAGAAATACTTAATTATCATAATTCAGCTTAATTATAATTTTAGTAATAATAATAATATATAGTAAAATAATAATAATTATTTATAATATAAAAAATATATTTGTTAATTATAATATATATAGAGAGAGAGAGAAGCATTTTGGAATAATTTGTTTCTTGTTATCATGTCATATCAATGAGTAAGATTATTTAAAATAAAGTAAATTCTTATTACATAATTGTGTATACAAAAATAATATTATTAAAAAATATAATTAAATTCATAAAAAATTAATTTGACTTCTGAAATTAATTATTTATTGAGCATATAAAATATTTAAGAATTAAATGAATAATAATAATAGATGTTAAATAAGTTAACATACAATATGGAAATTCATGAAAATTCTTGACACCAAGATTGCCCCTTAAAAGATATTGCTGTCTCTTCTTAGGCATTCATCCATGCTTACTCACAAGGAAAGTGATATTTAGAATTATTATATAACTCCTTCCTCATAACAAGTTATAATTAATATATCAATCAGTCATCAAAACCCATCACATATATTAAACAGTTTGATTTTAGAAGATATAATGACAATGGTGGCACTACTGTTAATTCTATCATTTTCTTAGTGTCTTGTAACATCAATTCCAATACACCCAAATTTTTTTGGCATGTATGACTAATGTGGTTGTTGTAATAAACCCAGCAAAAAATAAGGCCTTTAATTGATAAACATAGTTCATTATATGCAGAAGAAATATTTTAGATTCAGCCAAGTTGAAAATAATCACTTGATAAGGTTTTGGCAAAAGTATCTCTAACTTAACCATATTAGAAAATAATTTCTTTTTTAATTTCATAATATATTTTATTATAACACAGTTAATTCAACATGAAAGATGAGATTCGTCACATAATTATTAAATATACTTATTTATATATTTATTTATTAATTATTAATAATATATTATTTGATCTATTTAAAATTAATATAATAATATGATGAAAATTATGTCCATAAAAATCTAAAAATATAAAAAAAAAGAAAAAAGATTCTATGAATAATTTTAAATTATTATTTTCTTATGTGAAATTAAAATTTTTATAAATTAAGTAATTAAATTACACTAATAAATTTTCATAATTTTAGTTTTTTAAAGTCTTATTCCAAAGGCTTTAAAAGAATTCATCCAAGCATTATTTTTTATTAAAAAAAAAAATAGAGTGGGGGAAGTAAGGGTTATCGGGTGAGAGAAATAAAGAAGGGATGGTTTTTTCAATGGAACGGTGTTTCGTGCGTCCCAATGTTCTTTCAAATAGGCTAATACTCCAACCAAATAATGAGTGCTGTTTTTTTTAGATAAATATGAGTTAGTTTTGTACTAAAAAAAACTATATGTTTTTAATAGAAATTTTCTTAAGAACTCTTCTACCTTTTTGTCTAAACCAACGCAAATCACCAATTTTAGAGGGAAATTAGGGTTTGTTAATTGGATTTCAATTTAAAAAAAAAATATTTTGCTAAAGAATTTAGAAACGAGAGAAATTTTGTATTTGGTTAAAATATCTGACAACTACACCAAACTTTATCAATTATTTATTTAATTCTAAAAATAAAATAGAAAATAGTTTTTGAAAACAATTGACAAACAAGTCTTAAGTGAGGTTTTTTTTTCCTTTGACTAACTTTACCCAACATGACTTTCACACACCACACTAATTAAAATGGGATCAGCTACAAAGTAGGAAACTGAACTCTAATTCACCTCTAATGTATGTGTGGTATTGGAGCTAGTTAGCTACGAAGTTGACAGATTCTTACAATAAAAAAATGGTCACGGAGAAATTTCCCATTTGATTTGAGTCTCAATAATTTAGTTTATTAAATATAGTACTAGCTAGTTTGTCAATTATCTTTCTAATTATAAATAGATTGATTGGGGCAATAACCTAATAAGCTGTGAAGTTTTAAAGTGGTTGCAGCTATTAAATACAATCACATGGTTTCTCAATCCAAAACCTTAGGTTACTATAATTTGCACACTAATAAATTCATATTCATGGTGATTCTTCTATATCTATCTGAACAAGAAATTAGTAGCTGAATCCAAAGGGTGTTTGAACCAACAACATGTGCCTCTCAGAAGCATAGAGAGAAAGATGTTAGTTCATCTATCAGTTCACAAATATCGGTAAAACACTGCTTTGTCTTTTGGCAACCTAACAGTGACTTACAACTGTTGCATGAATGTTGAATAAATTAAGGTTTGATTTTAGAGGTATCTTTCACTCACACTTTGCTAGGTTATAGACCCTCTTTCTTCCACTATCAAATATATTCACCTGCAAAGTGGTTTTGTATCTTCTTTTCACGTGTGTGTCTTCTAAGCAGTAAACATTATTTATGGCATAAGTTTGCCGGGGATTGATACACATGCATACATAAAAAAGTGACATAATGTTACCGAAAAGTGTTTCATAATATTGGTGATGAATGAGATATGCATGATGATGTATGCAACCGTGTCTGTCTACACATGCATGGATATATTTGAGGGTCATATTCTCTTTTTGTCGAAGTTGGAATAGGTCTATAATATTATGCAGGTGAAACAAAAATGGAAATTTATAATTGGAAGAATAAGAAGCAATTTTACAAGTTCATGTCTGACATAGTGGACTGCCATTGCTTCCCTGTAAATTGCTTCTTACAGCTTAGAAGTCATGGTGCTTTGTCCCATCTCTAGATGCTATATTCATGTCAATGTAAAAACAGAAGGGTAAGAAAAGGTAAAACGGATATTGGAATTTGAACAAACCATACATGAACTGAGGTTGTGTATGTGGAAACAGAGAAAGCTAATTTTACTTTTTGACCAACAATATAAATAACCTGCATAGGAAGAATTCTTCATCCATATTTTAATTTCTGCTTTCATTTTCTGCATGTAGGAATTATAAACCTTAATTATAAAGATTCTCTTACCTATTAATTTTACATTATAATCATTTTGAGTACAAAATATTAACTTTGTACACCAGTAACTAATAAAAATTATAATTGATATAACTTTGAAAACAGTCGTTAGAAGTAAGTAAAAATGATCACCCTACATAGAATTTTGTTATGGAATGACTTACATAATGAGTTTATAGATTATTTTCTCTTTAAATTATTGTAAAAAATTTACTGTAACATTCAAATTTTATACATAAAAAACAACTCAGTATATTATTTTACCTCAAGAATAAAACGGGAGACATGAACCTCTAGTGTACTTAAAACCTGCAAGCCAATCATAGCATTGTAGGGGTCACCACTCACCAACCCTACAAATTGCACTCCCCTCTCTAGCACCTTCAAAATTCTTTGCAAAAACTTTTGATTTGGAGTGCTTGTTTCTGAAGCAGAAAAACAAAGAAAGATAGCCATAGCACTCTGCAATTAACATGACCATCAAAAACTCTTGTCCTCTGATAATCTTCCTGTGCTTCATAATGCCCCCATTTGTATTTTGTGACGGGGGAATGCATTCAGGTAATGAAACAAAACCCTTACCTTTTTTTTTTCTTTTTTTTTTCCTAATGATTATGCTTCCTGTGACCCTGAAGCTTACATAATGCAGGTCCATCGACCCAGATTTTGCATTCTTTCCAGGAAGACAGAAACGGGTCCATAGCAGTGTCAGTGAAAGCAGAACATGCTACCTCTAGAAAATTTTGGTTGCATGGTATACAAATATTTTACTTTCCCTCCAATTATGATGTAAAAAAATATTATCCTTTATTTATTTTTTATTTCATTTTTGGAGTCCCTTTTGACTGTGCCTTTGATCATGCTGACATTAGGTTCTTGCACAAGCAAAGACATAAGCATCTCGCAAAGCACAACTTCTACATCAGGAATACCACAGTTCATTGTGCAGATTGTTAACACATGTGTTTCTGGATGTGCTCCTCGTGACATCCACCTCCATTGTGGTTGGTTTGCTTCTGCAAGAATAGTGAACCCCAGATTGTTCAAAAGGATCTCATATGATGATTGCCTAATCAATGGAGGGAACCCTTTAGCCTCTAGCCAGATCATCAGAATCGCATATTCTAATTCTTTTATGTACCCTCTTGCTTTCAAGTCTGCCAAATTTTGCTGATGAATCCAAAATAAGGTAGAAAAATAAGAGACTTCCAAAAATGATAACCAACCAATCCACGGGTCCATCACCTTGTGGATATGTATTAACCATTGCACACTTGCTTTAGCTTCATGTTATTTTTCATATTTAAATGTATATTTTGGTTTGATTCTGCTATTCAATGCCTAGAGAGACCAAACCCTTGAAAGGAAATTTCCATTCTGTTGGAATGACGGAATTTTCAAGTTAAAAAGATATATCTGTGGCTGTAGCTGCATGTTGCATGGAATATACTCTTTGAAATAATTCTGGTAATTTAAGCCAAGCATTTTCTTGATAAATAATTCTTGTTTGGTAATTTGTTCTTTATACTTTCCCAGATTAATCTAATACTCTTCAAATTAAAAATTAAAGTATATTTAATTTTAAATTTGTTAAATATCTGTCAAATTATTTTTTATTTTATTTATAATTTTAGGAATAAATAATTACCATTCCATAATTTTAAAAAGTAAAACAATAAATTACAATTTAAAAATTATTGATCCATATTATATATTTCGGTAATTTGTTATTCCTTTTACACTTACATTTTACAGTCTTTTACTTTTACTTTTAAAATTTATATTAACAATAAATTTATTAATAATTAAATAGATTATAAGATATGATCTTATTTATAACAATATATTTATATTTTTAAAATATCAATTAAATCTTCTTTTTTAATTCACGTTATAATTTAGTTTTATAAATAAATCAACAACTGCTTCTCTGAACTATTATTACCTAAATTATATTCTATATGATCTTTGATTTAATGAAGTCATTTAAGACATTTCTGAAGTCCTTAACATGCATCATTTTAGTTTAAAATGGAAGCATTTTAACAAATTTAAAAGTCGATTTAAAGAATTTTTTTAGTATCAAATGTTTATGTACTTAGCATGATTTTTAATATTTGTAGTACTACTCAGGTGTTCAAGTATGTTTAGAAACCATTTAAACAAAGCAATAACGTATATAATTGATCAGATTAGTAGATTACTTCAAGTGTTACTACTAATTTTGGATTGATCTGCTAATTGTGCAGCAGACACACTCATGGTGCAGTGTGTCCGAATCACAAAAGTACTAATAATTTCTTTCAACACTCTTGAAGCTTAGTATGATCATATCAGTCTTGAGAGTTTGCAGAGGTTAGACAAAACATTATATGAGAAAATGACTAGACCCTGCAGTAAGCACAGTAAAGGGGCTACCTCTCACATTTCCATATCCTTCCTCACTTGTCTTCATTGGGAAAGGTGGTTGTGTGTCAGCATTCAGCAATAAGAGCTCACACCTTATTTCAGATTCAAAACAACTTTGTAGAACACCATTGGGTTAAGTTTTTTAGCCTCTTCCATGCAATATCAACATGTCAAGTTTTTCTTTAAATTGTCTACAGAAAACAGAAGGTTTTTTATACTCTTTAGATGCTAAGGTATTAAAACTAGTTGGACGCTACATATGCATACATTTTGATCGCATCTCTAGTTTTTACTTATCCAGGCACTCTCTGTAGGCTGAGCTATTACTCATCAAATTTAGCAATTACTAAATCTGTTGAAGTGAAAGAAAAAAATTTACTTGATGATACCCAATTCTCTTCTGTTCCTTTGTGATGATTTATAAGTCATTGTAATTTGACAATGGAGTAATTCTTGTAGTTGTGTAATAATAGTGAAAGTAAATGCAAATTCTTGAAATAATGCTGGGTTTGCTAACTATTTTGTATATCAATTCAGACATAGAAGTTATTTCATTTCAATATATGGTTTTCAGAAACATCAAGAGTCGATGCTCAATAAATCTGCACAATTCTTTCTTTATCCACAATTCGTTTTTCCCTTTTTGTATTTGATGTTACAAAAAAAAAAAAGAAACTCTTACATGTACGGTCGATATCAAATGGAGAAAAAAAAAATAATTAAAAAAAAATGAAAATGTGTGGATTTATCCGTTCGCAGGAGCACTATAGAACACGAGCTGAAAATAGTGGGTGCGAGCGATTATGGCTCTAAGATATTTGTGCACTACAAATGTTTCGACCAGACATCATGCGTCTTCTGGTAAAACTCTTGTTCCATCTTCTCTCTCTCTAACAAACTCACGCATGCACAGTTCCACCTCAGAGACAGACACCAAGAACAAGTCCACTGCGGACATCGTGAAGAGCCTCGTCAACACCCTCGTGCTTCCTTCCATCTCATCTACTCCACTCCACTCTCTCCACAGAGGCAACTGGGTCAAGCTCATTTGTGGTGCAAGCTTTGAGGTATGTAAACTCAAACGCTCTCTATTTTGTTTCTTCCTTTCAAAAGGGTTTCTCATACTTGTAATAACACCCTCTCTCTATGTATATAGGATGTTGTGCATATCAGAAATCTCAGCCTGGTTTACACTCTTGCTGGAGGTAAGGTCATTTATAAATAAGTAATAGAGCAGATAATATATATGTGCATGATAATCAGAATGCTGTGGGTCTTTTTTCTTTTGGACAATTGAAACTTCCTTGTGCATTGCTTTCCCTGGGTATAAATCTATTGGGCAGTGTCAGCCATAATAATGGCTATTTGTGCTCTTGGTGTTATTTTTTCATCAGAGAATTAGCGAGGTGAAACTTTATTTATGATCGGAGAATAACACCAAAAGTGTTTTAAGGAAGGAATTGTATCTAATATTAATTTGTCCTTTCATTGTTTTAGTTATGCAAACTTGATCTTGTATTTTACTGGGTGAGGAATAGCATGTGACTTAAATTGGATTATATGGTTTCAGTTGACTGCATTGACTGTGCTGCTGATGCATCGGTTGTTAGTGCTGTGAATGAAGGAATTGAAGCTGCAAGAGATATTGTATGCCTTAGAAGGCCGTGGGTGATGATCAGTGTCAATGATGATAAAGATCTTCATTTTCGGAAGGCCGGTAAGTTTTAATTGGGCGCCGAGGTTCGAAATCTTGTGGTGTGAAGGACGTTGCAAATGTTTGAATTATCACGATTGATCTCAAATAGTTAAACATTTAAAACTTCTGGAGGGTGAACACACTCATTTTATGATTGGAAACAATCTTTTGTTTGTAAGCCAGTCCATATATTCAGCAAATAGTTTACCTATCTGAATTTGAGTACTTCTAGTGTATAATTTGACTGATTGATTGTTGCTTTTAACCAAAAATATGTCAGTCTTCTTAAAACTAGCCTATTGATAATGATCCAGGAAAAGGGAACACATGATATCCAACTTTAAGACTTGGATGAGTCTAACAATTCCCAATTCGAAGAATTCTATTTACTCACTATGTGGTGAGAGACTTAGTTACTTCAACATTGACGAAGTGCAGTGTTTAATCTCTAAAATATAAACTTGTGCTGGGTAAATTCATAATCTTGACCACAGGGCTATGATCATGCAGGACTTATGATGAAAACAGAACATATATTAAAGAAATCGTTCCCCTTACATTGTTCCATGGAGACAAGGGTTGTCGTAGGTAGAATCCCATGCCACTATGAAAGCGTGGCCATCTTTTATGTTCATCGTTTTAAAAACGTGGAATGGCATGCCACTACAAAAGCATGATCAGCTTTTATGATCCTCATATAAAAGTTTCTCTCAAATGACAAAGATTAAATATGATGCATCTGGTTTTAAAGATAAATATATCACTGACATACGAATAAATGTTCATGTCTTCTGAGCAGAATTTGATCCAGAAGACTGTCCAGCAGACTGTTCCCGGCCTTGTGAAAATGTGTGCCCTGCTAATGCAATATCATTCCAAGGGAAACCAACTTTGGGAATTTCATATAATACCGAAGCATCAGTTGTACTGAATATTTTAACTTGACTTTACAAAGTTCTTTGAACATACCGGCTATGTTTTTAAAATTAAAGGTTTAATATTCAATTGGCTTGAACCTGCAGGATGGAGTCATAACAGAACGCTGCTATGGCTGTGGTCGCTGTCTTCCAGTTTGCCCCTATGATAAAATAAGTGGGACATTTTCCTGTTCCATTTGTGATTATATGTTCTTAACTCTTAATTATCCATCAATTGTGTTGAGTTACTATCTCAATTACATTATTTGATTTTCAACTCTATGTACCTTTTTCATTGATCTAGGAGAGGTAGCATATGTAAGAGATGCTATTACAACTGCAGATCTCATCAAGAGAAAAGACGTTGATGCTATGGAGATACATACAAGTGGGAGGTAATATTAAATTATCAAATTGATTGTGTAAAATAATACAAACTGTAATCCCTTTGGAAATAATACAAGGATGTATCCAGAATTTTATCAATCACGTAAAGTAATACAGTTATAATTCTCAATTCCCATATATACATGTAATGCGTTCACCAAGCTTTCTGTGCTTTACTTCTCTTTTCATGATTGAGATAAACTTTCTTTAATGTTTGTTTGAATCCATTTCCTTATGTGACCTTTGGTCCTTCTATAGACAGAGTACTTTATTCGAACAACTCTGGAATGCTCTGGGAGATTCAGTAGGAAATTTGAAGCTTATAGCAGTAAGTTGTGCCTCCAATCTGTTCTAATATATTCAATAAATACTTAGCCTCTTGGCTCTTAGCATTTTGAATCACTAATATACTATTGATATAATCCAGGTTAGCTTACCTAATGGTGGTGATTCAACAATATCCTCCATGAACAATATGTTCTCTATTATGAAACCCAATCTTCAAAGCTTCAACTTGTGGCAGGTGTGCCTTTGAACATTCTCTATTTTTTATAAGCCAAATTTTAATCCATATTTTGGTTAACGAGTCCATCTTTGTCTTTCATAAACTCAAGCTAGATGGTCGTCCTATGAGTGGAGACATTGGGAGAGGAGCAACTAAGGAATCGATTGCCTTTGCTGTTCAAGTGACCAAAGCAAAAGAAAGACCTCCTGGTTTGTACTTATAACTCATTTTATGGTCCCTTGAAAACTTCATGGTTTACATCTATCCTCATCCTGATAATGTTAATGACCCTTAACATGGTAGGTTTTCTTCAACTTGCTGGTGGAACCAATGCTCACACAATTGAAGGGTTGAAAAAAGAAGGACTCTTTCAAACAACTATTACTGGTAATGTCCCCACTTTGTTACTTTGTATCTCTTGTTTTTCACTCTTTCTCTTCATTTCATTAGAACTAGACCTTGCTTTTGCTGAACTTTTCCTAGAATACTTGCATGATGATAACTCAGCAATAAGCCCATCTGATTCACCACATGCTTTAATTAGCGGCATAGCATATGGTGGCTACGCACGGAAGGTAACACATTATTTTATTCTCAACTATTTTTTGTCTGTAGTTAGTTAAATGTATATGATGTGAGTTACAACTTACATCCCTGTGTAAAAAGCAACACTGTTGGCAGATTTTCCATTAGCCCTACCTAATAACAACAACAATTTGTTTGCTTATAGTTGTGACTCTGGCATGCAAATTTGTCAAGTCTTACAGTGTTCATTTTGGTTCAGATTGTTGGTAGAGTATTGACATCCATGCAATCACAGCATGGTGGAGCTGCATCGGTTGAGGATCATTCTGAGTATCTCTTGATGGCTCTTAAGGAAGCACTGGCTTTGGTGGGGCCTGTTAAATGTCTATGATCGATGGCAACTTCATACCTGTATTTGAAAGTGTAGCCAATAACAATTATTTTAACACTCTCTCATTTTACTCTTTATAATTTTGGATCAAACAAGACAGTAACCATAAATCTAAAGTGAACAAACTTCTATACTCCATGATTGCTTTATACGTTATAAATAGGTCATAATTGTGCATCATTCTGCTTTATACCAATTGCAAGTATGATCATCAATAGTACCTATGAAGAAACTCTCAACATGAATAAATTAATATAAATTCTTGAAAAACATAAATCATCTCATACTGTGTCTCAATCTTTATCCCCTAAAATATTTTGTTATAATGTTTGTTTATTGAATAATTAAGCAAATGAATATGATATGATAACATTTGAATGCATGTAAGACAACATCTATTTATATTTGTGGCTAATCTTTTTTTTATAACATCTATTTTTATTTTAAAAATTATATTTTTAGTTGACTTTATCAAATGACTTTTCAAGTTGTTCTACAATCATTAAATAATGTAAAATTGAATTATTTATGTGTAGTTTTAATTTCATTTTCTCCCACACAAATCATCTTACTTGAAATATATTATTAATAAACACACAATTTTTCACTTGTTTATTTCTTCATTTTTTTTAGGACATTGGAGGTTCATGGAGCACGAGCGTGGTCCCTCGTTTTCCATGCTATGCATATTTTAGTTATAAATGGGGGTCCATTATTATTATACAGCTTCGTTAACCATGATATTGACAAATCTCAATGTCCCTAATATGTAGTGACGTTCAAGGCATATTATAAGTTCCAATCATTTGAGAATAAGAAACACACCAAACAAATGTATATATAAATAGTAAAGCATAAAATATTATTAGGTTATGTATAAGAAGAGTGACTCTCAATTCTAATAATATTTTTAAAGGCAATTCTTATATTTAAAAGCGTGAATATTCTATTATGATAATACTATTAAACTAATTCTTATATTCAAAATATTATTTATTTTAAACTTTTTGTTTATTACAATTTTATTTTTATAAAATATATGGGTAGATTGAAAGAAAAAAATGTATTTAATCTTAATATCAGTTCTAAATGATGTGAAACTTAACGTACAAAATATTGATAATATTAAATTTTTAATGAAATTTTATACATAAATATATAATAATATTATAATATATAGTCATAATTTTATTAAATTAATTTTATAAAATTAAGTTATTTTTCTCAATTCGAATAAATACAATTGAGTTATGTATTTTAATTATGGGGAAGTTTATTAGTATTATAATACTATTATGTTTAGCTTGAGTTGCACGAGGAATACAGTGATTTTTGTCTCTTATTGAATAGATTGGATATATGCTATAGTTTATGTTGCATGTGCACGCACATTTTATTTATAAGAACTGAAAATTTAAGGAAGGAAGAATGGATAATTGATGTCGTAGAATTTCTTACTTTTTATATATATATATATATATATATATATATATATATATATATATATATATATATATATATATATATATATATATATATATATATTAGGTGTCACATTATATTAAAAGGATAAAAATAATACATTTTAAAATTTGAGAGTCTCATATAAAAACTTCAAAAATATTAAACAAAATAAATATTATTTATTTTATTTTATATGTTAGATTTAAATTTGGATAAAAATTAAAACTATATCACATCATTATAATATACATTATTCATCCTATTTTGATCTATTTTACCTTTAATAGATGAATTAACTTATTATAAATAAATTTAATAATAAAATTATTATTTATTTTTTATCATTAAATAACATTTATCTCAGGCAAATAATATATATTTGACATGTTGTATTAAAAAAAATTACTTTCACGTTAAAAAAATTAATTATCTAAAACAAAAATTATTTAACATCTTTTTAATTTAATAAAATTTCATATTTATGTTATCGTGACAAAAAAGAAGTAAACAAAAGAGAAAAAGTGGAGAAAAATTGTATTTTTAAAAAAAATTATAAGGGAAACTTTTTATCCTTCACCTTATAAATTAAAATAAAATTTTCTAAAATTTCATAACTCATAATTATAAACTTTTTTATTTTTTTCATAAATTATAATAAAATTTTCTGAAATGTTATTACTTATATGTTACCTTTTTTTAATTATGTCACAGACAAAATAATTTTATAAATGAAACGACTAATTTAGTTAAAATGGTTATTGTCATTAAATTGTTAAAATTTTCTATCATTGGTTGAAATCCGCATCTTAAAGTTCACGCCAGCAACATGGTGTGGGGCATTATCAATGAATTATTTGGTCATCTTAGACTTGTCACTTTTATCACTTATAATAATATAAAAGACACATATTATCAGAAAAAGCATACATTAAATATTTTACTCATAATAAAATATATAAATTTAAAAAATTACAATTGTTAACTTTAAAGGTAGAAAAAAAAAAAGCAAAATTACTAGAAGATGAAGGTTCGTAGTTTTGTACTTAACATGCTTGACTTACAAGCATTACATAGTTAGTTAGTTACACAAAAAAATAAAAATAAAAAATTATGAACGTGGTTCACTCATTCCTATTGATTGGTTTTATACCAGCAAAATTTTTGCCTTACATTGATGTCAGAATCCAAAACTCAAAATGAGAGAGCAAAGAATTTAAACAGTTTTTGTTTTCTCTTCTTCAAAAATCAGTCCCTAGAGTACTTTTTCTGGCTTCTGCTTCCACATCCTTTTCACTACCATTGAGAGTTTGCTTAACACCACTTCATTTCTGTGTTATTTGCTACACTGTCACACCACTTTGAACCGTTGAGTTGTTCATTTCCCACCATTTTCTTTTTTCTAGTTCTTGACTTACTGGTCTATTTTTCTTCCTACCATTCCCACAAAAAAGAGAATCTGATTGAGATGTTGTCCAATACTGAATATGGATAAATATTTTAAGGAAGATTGCTATATTGGGAAAATTAATTTATTTTACTAATTGAAGAAATAAAATTAAATAGTTATTAAGTATGATCTAATTTATCAAAGCCCTCCACAAAGACTTTCAAAACAAAAAATAAAATTATTTTTTTATAAATTCAAATTAAATTATGCATAAATTAATTTATAGAAATTATTTTATATGAATTTTCTAAATATTTATATGTATACAATTTTTTTTTATAGTTTTGGGTTAGCTAATTTTATTTTATAAAGACGTTTATATATATATATATATATATATATATATATATATATATATATATTTAACAAGTTTTGTGAAAAAGTTGATCAATATTTGATATATTTAGAATATGTAAAAAGGTTATTATTGATTGTCAATATTTTAAATTATAATTTTATGAAATTTGAAAAATAAAGTCATTTTTTTAAAACTCAGTCTTTAGCTTTTACAAAATTTTTAATCGTTTATTGGATTATTATTTTTAATCATGTTTTTTATTTAACTTTTTAAATCCGATATCATATTTAAAAAACTCAATCACAGTCTCGAAATTGCTCAATGTGTATTAAGGTATTAAATTGATATAAAATTAAGTTTTATATTATTATAAAAGGATCGTATTCAATATTTTAGAAGATGGAACATTATAATAAATATTTTAATAATAATAATAATTTGTTTGATTTTTTATTATTATTTAAAAAATAAAGCAAAATTAGGAATAGCGAGCCACCTCACCTAACACGAGCCTCGTTTTCTACATTTTCCTCTGATCTAACTAACACTAACACAAGACACCACTTTCTTAAAAACATAAAAGAAAGACACAAAATTGAAGTAAAATTTGTACAACTAAGAAGCTAACTACCACGCTCCACGTGACTTGCCCACACATTCTCTCCTTCACTATATAAACCCCTCCATACCATCCCTTCATTTTTCATTTCCCCCTCCAACTCGCTCTGACTCACTTCCTCTCCGATTCCACACGCGAGGCGAGAGTGAATCAGGTGAGGTAAGCTACTCACCTTCCAACTAACCTTCACCAACCAAATCCTAGATCTCCATTTCTCCTTCTATTCACTTCCAATTTTCAAATCTGCGTGATCTTAGGGATACTCTCGCTTCTTATCCTACAATCTTCTCTTCCGCTTTCCATTCTTTCGTCTTCCATTTTCGTGCATTCGCTATGAGCTTCTGCTGGTAGCGGCGGATCTGCTTCTCTCGCTAGTTTTCTTCTTTTAATTTCAAATTAAATCACGTAAATCGAATTTTCAGTTCCTATAGTCACGCCGTGTTTCATTTTTGTTGCTGAATGAAACTATGGAACCTGGTTTCCTTCTCTTATTTCTATAGTTGCAGATTTCAAATTCTGCCTTGCTTTGGTCGTTGAACCACTCTGTTTTGGTTGGTTTATATTCCTAGAATGAGATTGTTGAGTATGGGCCTTGTTCACTACTGTTTCTTGTTTGATGTTTTTTTCTTTTTTCCTCTTTATTTGGATCACGAGGATCACATGCCTATAGTTGTGAATGATAAATAATTTTTTGTCTTCTTGAATCTATGGTTGGAGGGTGAGCCCTGGCGTAATAATAAACTTGCCGCTTGGTGACTGCTTGGGGTGAATCTATGGTTTCTTAAGATAGATAATTAACGTTCTTACTAGGAGAGAGACATCTCTATGTTTCATTTCAACTGAAATGGAGGATATAGTACATGATTAATTATTTGATCCTTTTTTTTTATTTTATAAAGTTTTGAATATAACGTTTGGTACAGTAATGGTGCAAACATTTCTGTATATATTTTCTTCTGCAATATAGAAATTAACGCACTTGTTTGTTGCCAGATCTATCTAATTATTCGTCATGGCCACTGGACAACTATTCTCCCGCACTACACAAGCTTTATTTTACAATTACAAGCAACTCCCAATCCAGCGGATGCTTGATTTTGACTTCCTTTGTGGTTTGTATAGGCTCTATCATCTTGATTTTCTTCTAGCCAGATTACAGAAAATGATACATTGGCATTAATATCTGTTCTTACAACTAATGGAAGTTATAATTTTGTGTTCACAGGCAGGGAAACACCATCAGTGGCTGGAATAATTAATCCTGGTTCTGAGGGATTCCAGAAACTCTTTTTCGGTCAGGAGGAAATTGCCATCCCTGTTCATTCTGCGTATGTGTTGTTCATCCATTTCTATACCCAAACTTCCTTTCTTTTGTTTGAATTTGGGATTTGGTTGCCTGTAGCTGTAGCCAAGGGAAACTTTTTCCTTATTTTAGTGGTCTCCTTACTGTTTCCGCATACATTCAATGCAAAGTGACCAACCTTTTTGAACATGACATTCTTGTTTGTGTGAGGTGATTTGTCTTAACCTTATATTGACATTTTATGCAGCATTGAAGCCGCATGTGCTGCACATCCTACTGCCGATGTCTTCATCAACTTTGCTTCATTTAGAAGGTCAGCAAATTATTTACTATTATTTTGAGTCTATGGTATTTTGTTGCACAATAATACATGAATGTCATTAGTATATCTAGAAAACATTACATAATATCATTTTATATCAGAGAATATTTTACACTATCTTAAATGATCTGTAAGGAGTGGCTACGTATTTCAATAGTTATTTCTTTATTTAATTAGGATTGGTTGTCTAGTATTAATATATATAGTTGTTTGTAGTTGTACTCAGTCTATCTTTCATATCATGTCACATCAAATCAATTATCAATATCAGTATCAATTATTCAGTCCCTACTTTTATTTTCCTTTTCTTCTTTCCCTACCGAAATCCTTATGATGTCAACATGGCCAAATTGATCTACATGCAGTGCTGCAGCATCATCCATGGCTGCTTTGAAGCAGCCAACTATTAGAGTTGTTGCTATTATTGCTGAAGGGGTACCAGAGTCAGACACTAAGCAATTGATTGCATATGCCCGTGCAAACAATAAGGTGGAAGTTGAAATAGATATTGATCAACTTAATAACTATAAAATAACATGGAAAAAATTATTTAAGTGCTCTTGATTTGATAGGTTGTTATTGGTCCAGCCACTGTTGGAGGCATTCAAGCAGGTGCTTTTAAAATTGGTGACACAGCTGGAACAATTGACAATATAATTCAATGCAAGCTCTACAGGCCTGGATCTGTTGGATTTGTTTCTAAATCTGTATGTATTTATTCACTTTCTGCTTATATTGATGTCATCTTCACATTGTAGGATTCACTTTTCCTTATATTATCACTATAAAACTTTTTGATAATCCCAACCTGCCTGTGCTAAGAAGGTGCAGGATGTGATCAATGTCTTAGCAAATGCATGCATTTCTACTTTCTGGATTTAGATATACTTTCTTTTTCATACTTGTCTTGTACCCAGATAATATTCCACCACCAGGGGCTAATTCAAGTTCCAAATAGCAGATTCAAGAAATTTAAGAATAATTCTTTAAGAGATTAACATGAATCATACCTTTTTCCTGTTTATTAATGTCTATCATGCCTTAGTTCATCTAGAGTCTTGAAGTATAGTGTAGTTACTAGACTGTCTCTCAAATACCTTATTGATTTGCTAGCTTACTGAGTATCTTCAGCATGTGTAGATACAAGATAGTATGTTGGTGCGATAGAATAGATTTGCAATTTTCTGTACCTCATATCCTTATCTTTGAGTTTATTTTCTATTATTTAAATTTTGTTTCTCTTTTCTGAAAGAATCAAAGAGATCGCCTTATTATATTTTTGTAAAGATTGTACTCAATCTTTATATTAGATATTAAAGTGGATGGTGAGATGATAATGATTATGGTGGAATACAGATGTATCAAAGTATAACTAGAGAAGGGCACAACTTAATCGCAACATAACATGAAGTGGTAGTTTACTTGCATGATATGGTTTTTGAACATCAATAAGCACTCTTTCCCTCCCTCTTCCCTCTCTAGTGCTAAATTATGGTAATAACACATGTTTAATGACATTGATTTTATTTAATGCAAGTACTAAATAGTGTTTGTCAAATACCAAATAGTTTTATATAGAGATTTAGAATTTCAGCTTTATGATTTTTTTGAAATGATTTAATATGTAAACGAATGATTCTGAAGGAAAACAACTTTCTGAATCACAGGGTGGGATGTCCAATGAATTATACAACACTATTGCCCGTGTAACTGATGGGATTTATGAAGGTATTTATTTGCTGATTTTATCTTTTTGGTCTTGTTAATACCAGTATTGAGTTATATCTTGTTTCACTGTAGGCATTGCAATTGGAGGGGATGTTTTCCCTGGTTCCACACTTTCTGACCATGTTTTACGGTTTAACAACATACCACAGGTAAATTGTTTCTTTCTTCTTGCGGAGCTACCTAAATGTGCACATCCTATAAATATCTTACTAGAATCTAGAGCATTCAAGTTTCTTTTGTTATTGACCAGTCTGGGTTTATGTTAAAATCAGGTTAAAATGATGGTAGTACTTGGGGAACTCGGTGGTCGTGATGAGTATTCCTTAGTGGAAGCTCTAAAACAAGGGAAAGTATCAAAACCGGTTGTTGCCTGGGTTAGTGGGACATGTGCACGACTCTTCAAATCCGAAGTACAATTTGGTCATGCAGTATGTCCCAGCTCCTTTAACTTTGACTAAATTGTCAGTTATAGCATTTATCATAGTACCACATTCTTAATGTCTGTTGGCTCTTATATAAATCAGGGTGCTAAAAGTGGTGGTGAGTTAGAATCTGCCCAAGCAAAGAATCAAGCACTAAGAGATGCGGGAGCTGTTGTTCCCACTTCATTTGAAGCTTTTGAAGCAGTAATCAAGGAAACATTTGACAAATTGGTTAGTATACATATATATTGAAAGTTTTCTTATGTTTAATTGAGTTGTCTCCCCTCTCCTAATCCTCGAAATGCACAATATTGTGAAAAAATCTCTTTCGTTTCCTTAATTAGTTGTAAATGGTTTGCTTATCTTTGTTAGGTTGAAGAAGGGAAGGTCAAACCAGTCAAGGAAATTACTCCTCCACCAATCCCTGAAGACCTTAGCACAGCAATTAAGAGTGGAAAAGTCCGTGCTCCAACTCATATCATTTCCACCATTTCTGATGACAGAGGTATATAGGAATCTATTGATGTTGTAATTTAGAGATGAGCCCTCTCTCATTTTCTGGATGAGACACTGACATTTAATAGTTCAACTAAAGATTTCTTCCAATATTTTCTGAAGGTGAGGAGCCATGCTATGCTGGTGTACCCATGTCTTCCATCATTGAAAAAGGTTATGGTGTTGGTGATGTCATCTCTCTTCTGTGGTTTAAACGCAGCCTTCCACGATACTGTACTCAATTTATTGAGGTAGACTAATCAACAGTATAGTGCTTTCCCTGAATATTTGCCTCTTTCCTTTCTGTGTGTCTTGAGTATGTTAAAATGTTCCCTTTACAGTAAAACTTATTTATTCTATCAGTTTTTCTTTTAGATTTTTTTTTTCCAAAGCAAACTATTGATATTATCTTCCACCTTCTATCTTATTGATACGTTACATTGGTCAGATATGCATCATGCTATGTGCCGACCATGGTCCTTGTGTGTCTGGTGCTCACAATACTATTGTCACAGCAAGGGCTGGGAAGGATCTAGTTTCCAGTCTTGTATCAGGTATATATATATGCCTAACTCTATCAATTTCTGGTGTAGGCGTAGTGTCTGATGGGGTGACTACAATTTTATATGCTAATAATGCCATAAAACAGTTTATAATGAGCTTCTGAATCAGGTTTGCTTACAATTGGTCCTCGATTTGGGGGTGCCATTGATGATGCTGCACGCTACTTCAAGGATGCTCATGACAGGGTATGATTAGTACTTTTGCGGTGATGCTGGTTGGAATTAATAAAAATATCGGGGAGAGGGGGAATGAAATCCTGACGGGCTGAAGAATTATTTTATAATTTATACAATAAACTTATAAACAATGGGAAATTTCAAAATTTTCAGATGCCGTCCCTTCCTGGAAAAAAAAACTCTATGAACTTTGTCTTTCATCTAACATGGTACTATTTTGTGTCTTGTAGGGGCTTACACCTTATGAGTTTGTCGAAAATATGAAGAAGAAAGGAATCCGTGTGCCAGGAATAGGGCACAGGTAACGTTTTCTGCTGTTCATTTAATTAAGCAATGACTATATTCTAATTTCCTTGTGCTTGCTGCTAGTGTTATAAAAATAAAAATCCAAGGCTTGATTTTTCCTTGTGAAACAGGATCAAGAATAGGGACAACAAAGATAAGAGAGTTGAGCTGCTACAGAAGTTTGCACGCACACATTTTCCTTCTGTTAAATACATGGAATATGCTGTTCAAGTTGAAACCTACACCCTCACAAAGGCAAACAATTTAGTTCTTAACGTAGATGGTGCTATTGGATCTCTTTTCTTGGATCTTCTTGCCGGTAGTGGAATGTTCACCAAACAAGAGATTGATGAAATTGTGGAGATTGGCTATCTGAATGGCTTGTTTGTGCTGGCACGTTCCATTGGTCTGATTGGGTGAGTTTCAATTAAATTATATGTATTACATGTGAAAAGCACTCTTTAGTTTATCGCATTTTGTATCTTTGTGTCTTTTCTATTTCTTTTATCCACAATTCTCTGCTGGACTTATGACCAAAGAGTTAGGTGATCCTCATAGCCACGGCTAGATGTGCATCCGGCATGTCTTTAGTGAATATATTTAACCGAGAATCACCGTTCTCATCCAAAATATATTATGCATGGTTTGGTCTTATTTATTGTTATTTAAAATTTCAGGCACACTTTTGATCAAAAGCGATTGAAGCAACCACTTTACCGCCACCCATGGGAGGATGTTCTCTACACAAAGTGAGAAAGTTGTGTGACTGGAAGAAATTTGTCATGCTTCAAATTATCAATCTTTTGGGAAATCATGCAACTGAAGTATGCTGGAGTGATTTTGTAGCTGTTAGATTAGTGTTGTATGAGTATTGGTAAAAAGCCATCTCCATTTGTAACTTGTATTAAATTTCATAAAGAAAGAATTTGGATCTGAAAATTACACATTTGTCTTGAGGAATCTTTTATCTATGTATTATTGTGACTTCAATAGGAAATAATTACATAAGTTCGAGCGCATTTGTTGCCCCTAATTTGTTGAATGTTTCGATATTAGTTATAAAGACAGATCCTGTTCTAAACCTCTGGCTTATTTTTCATGTACAATTTTAGAACTGTTAACCTTTTCTATGAAATGTTAAGTACGATGATAATAATAATAATAATAATAATAATAATAATAATAATAATAATAATAATAATAATAATAATAATAAAATTTACTTTTAAACATGAATTTTCTTTTATAATAGCAACTTGATCTTCAGAATATAAAATGTTTATAATTTGATTTTTTTCTTTATTTCAGTTCTTTTGATTCTAATATGATTTCTATTTTACTTGTAAGATTAACACTAACAAATTATCTATATATAAAATTTCATATTGATTTTATATTTATATTATCAAATATCCAATCACATGGTTGTGTTTTTTAAGTATTTATTTTGATAATATTTAATTATAAATATTTTAATAGAGAAAATAAATTAAGTTTTTTTTTCAAATTAAAGAAATAAAAAAACTATTTTTAATTTTAAATGAAAAATTCAAAATTAATGTTTAATAAACTAAAATTAGTTCTGAAGATTTTATTATTTGAAAAGAGTTTGTTGGCAAGTTATACAATCACTGATAAATATAATTTACCTGATAAGGCTTATATTATGTATTTAATGTTATACATTCTCTTTATGACAATGCTTAATATTTTAAAATTTAATCAACAGTTTAGTTAAAATCATAATGTCAATACGTGAATATATAATAATACCAACTTATGCTAGGTTTATCTTTTGTATGTTATTTTATATAATAAATTATGCATAAAAGAGAAATAAAAAAATAATATTATCAAAACTTCGAAGTTTTTATAGTATTCTTTTGCATCTGAACACACTACTCAATATCAATTTGTTGGCACCAGCCACAAAAATATGTATCTAGCGGACCAAAAACCACAAAATAGAAAATAAAAATCCATGAAAAATGTCGCAAAAAATATATTGGATTAGCTGCAGGTCTTTTAACTCGTTAACTCACCTGCTTAATTCGTTAACCTCATGGATTAGATTATGATGAATTATTATACTACTATTTTCTTTAAAATAAACAAAAAACATATATTGATTTAGTTAATTTGATTTAGACTGTACAATTTTTTTCGAAAATCAGAAAAAAAAATTATTGATTTAAACTATAGCTTCAATTAGAATCAATCTGAACCGACCATAAATACTCTTAGGAATCGTAAGTTTTCATTTAGTCCCGAATGAGAATTAAAATAATTTCCATCCTATTGGACATATTGGTTAGGCAATGGGAAATTGCGTCTTTATTTTTAATTTCTTAAGATATTTAAAAGAAAATAGAAAACATAAAAACTCACTAATTAATTTATGCTAAAAATTATAATAATGAAAACATTTAACCGATATTCTCTTCATATTATTTATTTATTTTAAATAATTTCAATTATTTTTATAAATTCATATTTATTTTATTAAAAAAATCAGTCCCTTTTTATTATTACTTCCGTTCATTTAAATATATTTTTATTTTATTATTTGATGTTATATTCCACTTCTAGAGCGTGGCGCCAGAAAAAGAGGAGAGAGAATTAACTAAAAGTGTGAAAACCAAGAAGGAGAAAACACCTTTTATAATCAATTATGTTTCAATTTTTTTTAAATATTATATTATATTTTTTATTTTTTTAATTAATAAAATAATATTTTAACTGATTAAATTAATTTTATTTTTATAATTTATTTATTTATTTATTTATCTCTATTTTTTATTCTATTTCTTATAATCTAAATAACTCTACTTTTTATCATTTTTTTTCTCAAATTTACTATTCAATATCAACACAAGCTTAATTCATTATACATAAACAAATAAATATCCATTCTCCATATTATATTTGAATTAAGTATGTTTGGGACACAATATCATATGTATTTTCAGTAGAATTTTTCAATTAAAATTAAAACTGTATTTTCAATAATCTCAATAATATGTATAATAAATAATTTTATTAATAAGCTGTTTGGATCAGAAAAACAAAATACCCGAAGAAAAGGAAGAAAGGAGTGATGTGTAAGAAAAGTGCAAAAATTGTGATGATAAAAAGGTAAAAATATTTTTTTCTCTTTTTTTTGACATGGGAGAAAAAATCATTAATAAAGATATAATTGATTATTTCTCAACTTTTTAAAAATATTTTTTATTTATTTTTTAATTATTATATTTTAATAAATAATTAAATAGAATATTAAAATAATAATAAATTTATTTAAATTTCATAAAATAATATTTTATTTTTTATAATCTTTATATTTATTTCCCTTAGTTATTTTAATTTAAGTATATTTATTTTTTAGTATGTTTCTTTCTTTCTTTTTCTACTTTTTCAAATCCACCCTTTAATCCAAAATTAAGCTAAATATCACGGTCAAGATTAAAATTTGATTAATAAATAATATTAAAAACATTAATTTAGTGGTAGAATTTTAAATGAGTTTTACCCGCTCATCCGTGCTTTGTAATGGACACATAGGGGTCACGTAGCATTATTGCTCTCTATTATTTAACCATCTCACCACATATTCCAAAACACACAATCTTCACTTTTTTTGTTTGCTTTTTCAAAACATTTCAAATTCGTCGTACAAAATGTTTACAAAAGCCACTGTTATTCTACTTCTAGGAACGACTCTTGAAAACATTTGAGGCAGGGTTTCACATTATAACATGCATAATAGTAGTTATCACTACCCCAGATGAGAACTACGTACATTTCACTGAAACTCTCACACTGCCTTTACCATAATATCATCTTCTGGTTTGTGTTTCCGTGATTCTTCAAGTTTTCTAGTTTTTTCTATTTTAAGTTTGTTGAATCTATGCTTGTTTAAGATATATAGCGTATGAATGTTTGTTTGTACTTGGAGAGAAATCATATCAATTTCTATGTTTCATTATATGGTACATTATTAACTATTTGATCCTATTCTTTCTGGTTTATATTATTATTACGTTTTGAATGTAACTTTTGGTATGACAGTGTTGCAAATGTTCCTTTATATCCTTCTTCTGCAGATTCATCTTTTTCTTCGTCATGGCCACTGGACAACTATTCTCACGTACTACACAAGCTTTATTTTACAACTACAAGCAACTTCCCATCCAGCAGATGCTTGATTTTGACTTCCTTTGTGGTTTGTATCGGCTCTAACATCTTTTTCTTCCATGCACATTACAGAAAATGATACCTCGCCATTATTATTTGTTCTTAATACTAATGGAAGTTCTGGTTTTGTGTTCATAGGAAGGGAAACACCATCAGTTGCTGGAATAATTAACCCTGGTTCTGAAGGATTTCAAAAACTCTTTTTTGGTCAGGAGGAAATTGTCATCCCAGTTCATGCTACGTATGTGTTGCTCATATACACAAACTGTTCTTTTAAGCTTGAATTTTGGAATTGGTTGATTGTAACCAAGGGGAGGTTTTTCTTTATTTTAGTTGTTTTCTTACTATTTCAGCATATCATTGCATTCAAAGTAACAAACCTTTTGACATTCTTGTTTTTCTGAGGGGTGATGTGTCTTAACGTTGACTTATTTTGCAGCATTGAAGCAGCTTGTGCTGCACATCCTACTGCTGATGTCTTCATCAACTTTGCTTCATATGGAAGGTTAGAAGATTATTTAGTTTTATGGTATCATGTGGCACAATTATACATGATAACTTATCAGTTATAGACCCAAATTAACCTCTTTAAATATTATTATAATAGTTATTTTTAATCATTATCTTTTTAAAAATGTATTATATTTTAAAAAAGAGTTGTTATTGAGATGTATGGTATAAATAGGTTATCAGTGTGTCACTTCTCATACCAAAAATGCTAGGGTATCTTCCATGAAATTTTATTCTTTGTTTTTCTCTTTTTTCATGAAAGTTAATAATTAATATGGTAGTGTTTACTCAAACTCGTTACATCTATCCCATTATCTCTGATACTTCTATGCTTTGTCTGATACATAATAGTCAATTAGATTGAATGAAAATAAATAGAGAAAAAAATAAGTTGATAAAATATTCTCATGATTTCAACATGTACAAATTGTTCCGCATGCAGTGCTGTTGGGTCATCCATGTCTGCGTTGAAGCAGCCAACAATAAGAGTTGTTGCTATCACTGCTGAAGGAGTACCTGAGTCAGACACCAAACAATTGATTGCATGTGCCCGTGCAAACAACAAGGTGGTGGAAATTGAAATAGATATTGATAAACTGAATAGCTATAAAAAATAACATGGAAAAACTGAATTATTGTAGTGCTTTTGACTTGATAGGTTGTTATTGGTCCAGCCACTGTTGGATGCATTCAAGCAGGTGCTTTTAAAACTGGTGACACGGCTGGAACAACCCACAATATAATTCACTGCAAGCTCTATAGGCCTGGATCTGTTGGCTTTGTATCTAAATCTGTATGTAGTTATTCACTTTCTGCTTATCTTCATGCCATCTTCTTCACATTTAGGACACATCTTTTCTTCTAGTGCCACTGTAGGAGCTTTTGATAATCCAGGACCAGCCAAATTGTAATTACCATTCATAATCTTTTATATCCTATTTCTCTGGCTTATAATGGCAATTTCTTCTCTAGCTAATATCACATGTTCAATGAAATTGGTGTGGAGCATAGAAATTCAGAATTTGAACTTTCTTTGTTTACGAAAGACGACAACTTTTTGAATTGCAGGGTGGGATGTCCAATGAATTATACAACAGTATTGCAAGCGTAACTGATGGAATTTATGAAGGTATTCATTTGCTGATTTTATCTTTTTGGTTTTGTTAATACCAGTATTGAGTTACATCTTGTTTCACTGTAGCCATTGTCATTGGAGGAGATATTTACCCTGATTCCACACTTTCTGACCACGTTTTACGGTTTAACAACATACCACAGGTAATTTTCTTTTCTTTCTTCTTCAGGAGCAACCTAAATATATATGTGCATCCAATAAACAACTTACTAGAGGGTACAAGGATTTTGATATTGACCTACCTATGTCCAACACTTTTGTATATTTCGTTCATGAATGTTACTTAAGTATAAAAGCTTTGATTTTTATTTTTGAATGAGACATATAAACAAATAAATTGTAGAACTGATAAACTAAAAATGGAAATTATCCTCTTTATAAATGATTTAAAATATGAATGAGATTGAAAGTACTAGTTCTATATGTAAACAACAAAATATAACTTCTATGACAATGATTTATAACTTTTTATTTTATTTTATTTTTACAATTGTTTAAAAATAAGTTCTTGATTTAAAAATAGTCATATTTCAGTGTCTCTGCATAATAATATTGACCCTTTTACATTAATGCCTTAGATTAAAATGATGGTAGTACTTGGAGAACTTGGTGGGTATGATGAGTATTCCTTAGTGGAAGCCCTAAAACAGGGGAAAGTATCAAAACCGGTGGTTGCTTGGGTTAGTGGGACAAGTGCACCACTCTTCAAATCTGAAGTACAGTTTGGTCATGCAGTATGTTTCAGTTCCTTTAACTTTGGCCAAGTTCTCAATTAAAGCATTCTCATTGAAGGATAACATTTTTAATGTCCACTGGCTTTTACATGATAAATCAGGGAGCTAAAAGTGGTGGCGAGTTAGAATCTCCTCAAGCAAAGAATCAGACACTAAGGGATGCTGGAGCTGTTGTTCCTACATCATATGAAACTTTTGAAGCTGCAATTAAGGAAACATTTGACAAATTGGTTAGTATATGCATTTTATTCCATACATTTACAAACTACTTCCAAATCTCTACATATAAATTTTTTAACTTGACGTAGTCCCTAGCAATGTGGTATTAATTAGTTATAGAATTCATGATTAGCTTATCTTTGTTAGGTTGAAGAAGGGAAGATCTCACCAATCAGGGAAATCACTCCTCGACCAATCCCTGAGGACCTTATCTCTGCAATAAAGAGTGGAAAAGTTCGTGCTCCGACTCATATTATTTCCACCATTTCTGATGAGAGGGGTATGTTGGAATCCACTATTTCATGTTCTGGATGAGAAACTCAAATTTGATTGTTAAACTAAGGTTTTTTTCTTCTTCCAATATTTTGCTGAAGGAGAGGAGCAATGCTTTGGTGGTGTATCCATGTCTTCCATTGTCGAAAAAGGTTATGGTGTAGGTGGTGTTATCTCTCTTTTGTGGTTTAAACGAAGCCTTCCCCTTTACTGTACTCAATTTATTGAGGTAGGTTATTCAACGGTGCAGAGCTTTCTATGAGTATTTCCCTCCTTTCCTTTCACTGTGTTTGTCTTTAGTGTGTGAAAATGTTCTACTTCCACACTCTATAGTCAAACTTTTTTTATGCTGTCAACTTTTAAGTATAGAACTAAAACGTAAAAATGGGACCAATTTAAACTATTTTTTCCAAAGCAAACTATTGATAAGATCTTACACCTTGAATCTTGCTGACACATTATATTGGTCAGATGTGCATAATGCTATGTGCTGACCATGGTCCTTGTGCCTCTGGAGCTCACAATACCATCGTGACAGCAAGGGCAGGGAAGGATCTAATTTCCAGTCTTGTATCAGGTAAATGCATACGTGCATGCCTTTAATAATCTGTCAACTTTACTGATGTAGGAAATGCATGGGTCAACAGAACTTTCTCTGCTGATAAATAATGCCATAAAACGGTTAATAATGAGCTTCTGAATCAGGTTTGCTGACAATTGGTCCTCGATTTGGGGGTGCCATTGATGATGCTGCTCGCTACTTCAAGGATGCTCATGACAGGGTATGATTAGTATTCTTCTGTGAAATCCTAATGGGTTAAAGAGCTCCTTTGTTAAATAAGGATTCAATTTCTAAACAAATCTAATTAACAAAAAAAATTAGACAAGTCTCTTAGCTAAAAATTTTAATTAGTCTTCAATTTTGAAATTTTTTTAATTGAGTTGTTGCAAATTTTAAAATCATGAAAAAATGTTTTCTTTTTACAGTTTCAACCTGTGAAGAAGTAATTTAAAATGATGAGTGGTAAACTATTGGCTGTGTCATGTCACAGGGTCTTACGCCTGATGAGTTTGTTGAAGGTATGAAGAAAGAGGGAATTCGAGTGCCAGGAATAGGGCACAGGTAACAAATTCATTCTACTTTCCTTGCTCTTTGCTCAAATGTTACAAGTATATAAATCTGTGAGGCTTTGTGAAACAGGGTGAAGAACAGGGACAGGAAAGACAAGAGAGTTGAGCTGCTACAAAAGTTTGCACGCACACATTTTCCTTCTGTTAAATACATGGAATACGCCGTTGAAGTTGAAGCCTACACCCTCCAAAAGGCAAATAATCTAATTCTTAACGTGGATGGTGCAATTGGGTCACTTTTCTTGGATCTTTTTGCTGGCAGTGGAATGTTCAGCAAGCAAGAGATTGATGAAATTGTGGAGATTGGCTATCTGAATGGCTTCTTTGTGCTGGCACGCTCCATTGGTCTCATTGGGTGAGTTTACGTTGTTTATATCATGTGTACTTCACTTCTTGGACATTATTGTAGCTTTGGAGCTTTGTGGCTTCTCAGGGTCCAAACATTTCCACTTGCAGTTGGGACATCATGGGTGGTCACACACTGCACGTCTTTTCTGAATCAAATGAACTCAGAATCAATCCACCTCCAAACAAAAACTATGTAACATCACCTCCTCTCATAACAATAACCCATTCATAATTGTTGTGTCAAATTTCAGGCACACCTTTGACCAGAAGAGATTGAAGCAACCTCTTTACCGTCACCCATGGGAGGATGTTCTCTACACAAAGTGAGAAGCTTTTTGGAGACTCTGATGACTTTCTCACGCTTTAAATTAGCCATCTTGTGGAAATCTTGCATCGGAAATATGCTGGAATGGTTATGTAACTGTTGGACCATCGAAAATGTTTGTTAATATTTGTGTCAAACCAATATTTTTCCACTTAAAGTCATAGATAAAAAATTATCTGCAAAACCATTTAAGACTCTCTAATCTTAAATTTAACCTATTTTCTATTATATACCTGAATCAGTGGTGATATTTTTACAACAAGAAACCATACAATCCTTCAAACAATTCATTCTTATTAATATAATAATCTATAGAATGATTTAATAAAAATAAAAATAAAACAAAACTATTATTATAATATTAAAAGAGAATTTGTTTATAAGAGTTATATAGATTTAGGTTGTCAAAATATCATTTTCCATATGTGAATTGCATATAAGAGGAGATTTGCAATCAATTAAAGTAGACTCCTCTATAATATGTATCTATTTTAAAATCAAAGAAATTTGTTTATAATTAATATTGTAAAGTAATTAAAGATATTATAATTAAAAATTAATTAATAAGAAAGATATTTCTAAAAAAAATATAGAGTCATATATATTTATAGGGATGATAGGTCAACCCATCTGATTTTTAAGCCCATCAAAACGGGGTGGAGGGGACTAACCCGCTATAGTCATGACAAGTTATAGACATTGGTCTACCACGGCGAAGAATGAATGTTGGTAAAATTTGGGTCATGTATATATATGATACATAATTTAAATGTGTTAGGGTCATTATTTATTAAGCCAAATAATAAAATGATCTGACTAAATTAAAGTTTTGGTTAAAGGCATATGTCATGAAAACAAAATTGTATAGAGACCATTGAGCAATTTCTAATTTGATGAGGGACCAAATTGGAAATACTAAAACTTAAGTAATTAACCTAATTCTGATTATTTTAAGGGGTCGTGGTCCCCTTCTGGGAGCACGTAGACATAACGTAAGTTTGATTCCTGTTCCTTTCTTTCTATCCCCATCAAGAGAGAAAATCAAGAGGGAAATATAGGTACTCTTCAGGTGAAAGACCATAAGATCAATACAGTGTTCTACAAAGACATCATCATTATGATTAATTCAGGAACGCTTTCGCATTCAGTTTACAGCATGTTTATCAGTATGAGATTATGTTTATGTTTGATCGTTAGAATCAAAATCAGGATTATTATTATTATTATTGTTTTTTCCAACAATTGATATCAGAGCCGCCCATATTTGATTCATGTCTATTTAATTTATAGAACCCTAATTATGAAAATTAGGATTAATTTTGTTTTAAACAATTCAAATTACCCAATTTTATGAACCCTGAGTGGAGAATAATCTCTAATTTTTTGTGAACCCTAAAATTTAAATTTGGGGGTAACATCCCCAATCTGATTCTGCTTGTTGATGCAACCGTGGAGGAAACTATGGATTCTTCTTCTTCGTTTTTCCCTTTTATTTCGGTTTAAGTTTCAAGTTTTAGTGAGAAAGAAACATTGTTTCAAAATTCAATCTTTCTTGTATTGGGTTCTCTGTTCTTTTTTGAATATTTTGTTTTTATTTAATTTTATGGGTTTAATTGGGGGTGGTGTTTGTGGAGTTCCCAACACAGAGAATATTAGGTAAATGATGAATGTTTCCACATGTGTGACTGTTCTTATTTTTAGGAAATTTTGATGTTAAATTCCCTGTTTAGGGTTTGAGTGATTACTGTTTAATCCCCTTTTAGGGTTTATAGCAGTATGCTAAAGAGACTCAGAACTATCTTTGTTTCATCTCTAGTGTGATTTTAGGGAGATGTTCATCCTTTATGTATTGGTGGAAAATGAGGCATTTTTTCATCCTTTGATTTGTTCAAATGAGGTGTTCATCCCTAATGAGATTCTAGGGAGGTGTTCATCCTTAGTAGAATTCTAATGAGGTGATTCTCTTTTGAATTAGTTTGCAAATATTAAATATTTGGTTTTGTTATATAAATAAAATATTCAATTTTCGATAGTTTAATATTTTTTGTGAGCAAATTGAGTCAAGAAGTCACCAAAGTAACTTCTCTTGAATTGGGCAGTTCATGAAAAATATTGAATGTTAGTGTTTGTGTATATTCATACGAGTATTAGTCGGTCCAAAGGAAGATTAATATTTGGCCGAATTGCATACACACTTGTAATGATAAACATGTGATAATTATAAGGATTTGCTTTGTCGATGATAAATCAATCCAAATACTGGTTTGTTGTTGGATGTGCTTTATTGTCAATGTTTGATTATTACAATAAGATACCTCTAGCAGTTAATATTACTGTCCAAAGACTTGATATTGATGGTGCATTGGGTGTCTTGAGATAAGTTAAACCACTATTTGAATATATATTATTTATTTTTTATATAATGTGAGCATAATTATTTTATTTCTCGTATTCTAAATTCAACTACAATTGCTTCTGTATCTGCCAATTTAAATTATGTTCCGGTCCTCAATGGAACAAATTTTGAGGACTGGAAAGAGAACATTGATATTGTTCTTGGTTGCATGGATATGGATCTTGCGTTAAGGACTGAGCAACCCCCTACTCCTACGGATTCAAGTACCTCTGAACAGAAAAGAGATTATGAGAAGTGGGATCGCTCAAATCACATGAGTCTAATGATCATTAAGCGTGGCATCTCGGAGGTGTTTAGGGGCACTGTTTCTGAAAACATCACAAGTGCCAAAGAATTACTTGCTGAAATTGAGCAACGCTTTGCAAAAAGCGATAAGGCGGAGGCAAGCACTTTTCTTCAGAACTTGATCTCCATGAAATATCAAGACAAAATAAATATCAGGGAGTACATTATAAGCATGTCTAATATTGTTTTTAAACTCAAGGCACTAAAGCTTGAACTCTCAAAAGACTTGCTAATTCATTTGGTGTTGATTTCTCTTCCTACAACGTTTAATCAATTTAAGGTATCTTACAACTGTCAGAAGGATAAATGGTCTCTTAATGAGCTCATTTCACATTGCGTACAAGAAGAGGAAAGACTAAAGCAAGACAAGACAGAAAGTGCTCATTTTGCAAGCACCTCCAAGGCTAAGGGCAAAAGAAAGAGATCAGAGGATCTTGAGAAAGAAGGTGCTAAGGGTCCAGAACAAAAGAAACAAACTCAAGAAAACAAATGTTTCTTTTGCAATAAGACTGGACACGTAAAGAAGAAATGTGATAAATATCATGCTTGGCGTGAAAAGAAAGGGTTGCCTAAACTACCGGAAGCCAATTGATTCTGAAAGATGAATTTATGTTGGAGATGACAAAGCGGTAGAGGTGGAAGCTATAAGGCATTTTAAATTGTTATTAAGTACTGATTTTTTATTTGGATTTGAAAGACACTTTTGTTATGCCGTCATTTAGATGGAATTTGGTTTCAGTTTCTTATTTGGACAAATTAGGTTATTTGTGTTCATTTGGAAACAATAAGTTCAGTTTGTCTTTTAATTCAGATATTGTTGGAACTGATTCACTTTTGATTTATGATAATTAGTATTTACTTGATATTGTGGTCACCTATAATGAAACCCTTAGTACAGAATCATGTGGTATTAAACGTAAAATTGAAAATACTCACTCAAGTGCATTATGGCACAAGTGCTCAGGTAACATCAAATTGTGACGTTTGGGCTTGTGTTACACTCTTAAAGATATGGTAGAGAGTATAATTTGTCATTCCACCTGACTAGAATCACTTTGGGGAGAGACACTAAATATGACAGCTTATATTCTAAACAGAGTACCAACTAAAGCAGCTACCAAAACATCTTATGAGCTTTGGACTGGGCGACAACCTAGTTTGAAGCATTTCCATGTGTGGGGATGTCCAGCTGAGGCAAGGCCTTATAAGCCAAATGAAAAGAAATTGGACTCCTGAACAGTAAGTAGTTATGTTATTGGTTATGCTGAAAGATCCAGGGGATATAAATTTTATGATCCCACATTAAAGACAATTTTTGAGACGGAAACTGATATGTTCTTTGAGGATATTGAGTTGGGGGGAATAATAAAATCAAGAACTTTGTCTTGGAGGAAGAATCGGTAACAATTCCAGAACCGATTCAAATAGTTACTTTTGATAAAGTAAGTTCGGAACCTCCACAAGGCATTATTGATGAACCCCTTACTCAATATGATTTGGTTGTTCATGAAGAACAAACTCAAGATCTTCAAGAACTTGTGCATCATGAGTTAATAACTTTGCAGAGATCCACTAGAGAAAGAAGGAGTCTATTTTGGATGATTACATGGTATTTCTTTAGGAACATGAGGAAAATAATGATATAATGGACGATGACCTAGTTAACTTCCATCAAGCTATACAAGGTTCTAACTCTCAAAAGTGGATTGAAGCAATGAAGGAGAAGTATAAGTCCATGCAAGACAATAAGATTTGGGAACTTGTCCCATTACCAGAAGGTATGAAACTCAGGCTTCAAGATGAATATTGTTGATGATTGTGTGTATCATAAGTTTAAAGGGAGACAAGTTTAGTCTCAATCAGTGCCCAAAGAGGAATTTGGAAATTGAGGAAATGCAAAAGATTTCCTATGCATCAGCTGTAGGGAGTTTGATGTATGCCCAAGTATGTACGCGTCCAGACATAACATACATAGTTGGGGTTCTAGGCAGATATTTAAGCAATCCAGGAATAGACCATTGAAAAACAGCAAAAAAGGTCATAAGATATTTAAAGAGAACAAAAGATTATATGCTCACATATAGGAGGTCATACCAGTTGGAGATCGCTGGGTTTTCTGACTCAGATTTTGTAGGATGTCAAGAATTTGTAACATGCTATGAGGCATCAAATCATGGAATATGGCTGAGAAATTTTGTCACATGGCTGCAAATTGTGAAAGTCATTGAAAGACCACTTAAGTTATATTGTGAGAATAAATCAGTTGTATTGTTAAGGAAAGAGTACAAAGTGGACATATTTTCATAGAACACTTAAGGACAAACTCTATGATACCAGATCCTCTGACTAAAGAACTTCCGCCCAAGGTCTTTCATGAGCATTTTGCTTACATGGGTGTTTTACAGTTTGAGGAATTTGTGGTTTAGTGGGAGTTAGTCACTTTCATATATTTTATGTTCTATGTTTAATTTCATATATGTATACATTATTTTTTGGACATATTTGGTTATCTATAGATATGCGGTTTTTTCGTTCATTCATTACACTTTGTACATTAAGGATATTATATCGATCTCAATAAGTTAAAGTTTGAACCAGTTGAAAATAGACGTGTACAGATCACTTTCACGTAATTTTTCATGCTACACATTTCATGATGAATCCATGTCATTTGGTTATGTTAGGATGAGTAATCATTGTTGGTTTTAGTTGTGATGATGCAATGAAAAGCTGGTTTGGTTCTATATCCTGATATGATTAATGGACAGGACTTTTAGAGTATGCTAAAGGAATATAATGACAATTTTGAGCTCATAAAATATAACACATTTGTAAGGTTGTAAGGACATATATATTTGTGACCAGTGGGAGATTGTTGGGAAAATTTGAGTCATGTATATATATGATACATAATTTAAATGTGTTAGGGTCATTATTTATTAAGCCAAATAATAAAGTGATATGACTAAATTAAAGTTTTGGCTAAAGGCATATGTCATGAAAACAAAATTGTGTAGAGATCATTGAGCAATTTCTAATTTGATGAGGGGCCAAATTGGAAATACTAAAACTTAAGTAATTAACCTAATTCTGGTTATTTTAAGGGGTCGTGGTCCCCTTCTGGGAGCACGTAGACAGAACGTAAGTTTGATTCCTGTTCCTTTCTTTCTATCCCCATCAAGAGAGAAAATCAAGAGGGAAATACAGGTGCTTTTCAGGTGGAAGACCATAAGATCAATACAGTGTTCTACAAAGACATCATCATTATGATTAATTCAGGTACGCTTTCGCATTCAGTTTAAAGCATGTTTATCAGTATGAGATTATGTTTATGTTTGATCGTTAGAATTAAAATCAGGATTATTATTATTATTATTATTATTTCCAACAATGGATTGATTCGTTATAATTTTTTTAAAATTAATTTATTTATTTTAAATTAAAATTTTCAATAAGTTTAATAATTTACATATATATTTTAATTTAATAATATAAATCAACACATTGTTTTAATAAATTATAATTTAGAACAATAATAAAATTTATATACTAATAAATAATAACACATGTATAAATAATATGAAAATTTGTAAAATTTATATTTTTTATATTGAAAAATTTAAATACCTATATCTTTTTTATTTGATAAAACTTCATATTATTCTTCTTTGAATAATTTTTATATATTTAACTCAAGTAATAACGATAAGAATAATCGATACTCACGATAAATAAGGAGGAGATGATGAATAAGGAGAAGAGGAGAGAGATGAGATTGCATTTGAGTAAGAATGATGTTTTTTATAAAGTGAAAGTAAAATTTTTTTAGTTTTTTACAAATTTTAATTTTATATATTATCTTCAGTACTAAGTATATTATAATTAAAATTATTTTTTTATTAATTAGACTGGTCAGTAAATTGAACTATCCCATCCCACATGCTAGTTTGACGGGTTGGTAAGTTTATTGAGACGAACGAGAACATATTAACAAACTAATTCGTCATGTATAATCGGTTTTACGATTCTATAGACTTAAAAGAATAATAGTTTAAACTTTCATTAAAAAAAACTCATCCATTTTTTAAAAATCTCTTAAATGATTTTTTTTTCATAAACCAATATCATTTAGGGATAACTGTATGAAACGGATAATGCCTGTCAGCTTGTAAAATTCTTATAAAAAATGAGAGATTAATGGATATTTTAATTTGAGCAGGTCAAACGTATTTTTATATAATAAAATTGGTAAGTTATTCATAAATTCTCACAAGATTCAGGTTAGTTTACTTCATCTTCTTTTTTTTCTGTTTAAGATTCATTTCATCCACCATTATTTATTAATTTTCAAGTAGTGGTAAAGTTTCTTTAGTGATGAAGCTAATTATTACCCTAAAATTTTATACTTTATGTATACATTTGGTTCTCAAACTTAATTAACGTTAAATATGTTTCCTTGTATATTTATAACCTCTTATTTCTTATATTTTTTTCTTTTTTATATTTATTTATTATTTATAAATAATATATTATTTAGTCCAAAATCATGATTTTATTTTAGTTATTTTTTAATTTAATTTAAAATTGATTATGGTTAGAAAGAATTATCAAGTATAATTTTACATTTAATTATTTAAAATAAAAATAAAAATAAAAAAATAAAAATTATTGATTAAATTTATCAAATAAAAAAAATCATAAATAAAAAATTATAATAATTAAATATTTTGTTCGAGATTTTGTGGCCGTCAATCTATTATACAATTAACCCTATAATTATCCTTGATATCTAGCGTTTAAACATAATTTTTTATAATTTAATTTTTATTTATTTTAGCAAGATATTATACATATAAAATAGTCGTATAATTTTATTATATATAAATATTTTAATTATTTAAACATACACTTTAAACATAATTACATCATATTTAATGTTTTGCCCAATAATAAGACTAATGCTATTATATGATAATAAACTTTACATTATATAAAATCAGTGACAAATATAACATTTTTGTTATTAGATATTTAAAAATGAAAATTGTAATGTATTTAATGTAGTAAAATAATTTTACCTCAATTTTCATCATATTTGATTTCTAATTTTTATGTGATTTATCTTTTAAGAAGACATTATTACATCTTGAGTAATAATTATGTAACTTTTTTTATCCTTTGTTCTGTTTTAACATATTGTAGCATTTAGTCTATTTTGTTCAATTTCTAACATTTTTACAGAAATTTTGTTTAAGTTTAACTTTTGTACACGAGTAATGTCAATTAAATTTAAATGTATAAAAATATATAAATGATTTAAGAAAAATATTGGTATACAAATTTGTAATAATAATTAATGCAAGAAATAATTAAAAAAAAGTAAAATATGTTTTTATTCCTATGGTAAAATTTAATTTTAATTTGTATATATTAAAAATTATTAGTTAATCTTCATAATAAATGATAGAAATATTGTTAATAAATGTTAAATTTAAGTAGTGTTGCACTAGTGAGTTTATTTGTCCCAAAGCATCTCAAATTAAGGCCTTTCTGATAATATTACCACAAATTAGAACACATGTTTGCAATTAATACATAAATAACAAAATATAATGAATATATCATAAAAATATTTATTATAAAAATGAATTATAATATTATTCATATATTTAAGTATTTATTCTCTGAATTTATCTTCTTGATTTCACATCCAAAATACTATATATTAAAAAGATGGAGAATGTTAATTTTTGAGCGTAATTAAATTCAAAGAATAGAATCATATGGTAGATTGGAATGAAAACAAATAGTGCAGGTTGCGGTTCATATATATCAAAATAAATTATTTCCCAACAAAAACAAAATTACTTTGATGAATACATCCTTAGATAACATTCTGACATCCTTAAATAATGTGAAAATTATTGGTGGTGAGTTTTGACATTAGATGCTTTGAATTTTGAAGTTTCATGGCACATGAAAACCCTTGTACGTACAAAACAACGTGAGTAAAGTTGTGAAAGGATTGGAGAGTTATCTCTTCGCAAGACATTAGTGTCATCGCTGTCTTCTTTTTTCAAAAGCAAAATTGGAATTAATAATCATCCTCCATTGTAACTTTTAAAACCCCATGATTTCTGTTGTTGATAAAATTATTCTCTTCTACTTTCTTCAACAAACAGTTTATTATATTTTGAAAAGCATATTACACAACATTTTAAATTGTAACAAAACAGGTTTAGAAGCAGCAAAGTTTGATCCTGGACCAGTCACTTTCACTCACCACCTTTCTCAATTATGTTCGCACGATCCAACCTCTGCCACAACAAATTCCACCACACCAAATTCAACAAAACCAAAAAAATCCCAACAAAAAACACAACCAATCACTGGACCAAGATACAAACAAGGAAACCAAGACCAAGTCTAAACATTACGGTACTAGGATTCTTTCACTAACATATACATAAATAACAAAAAACTTACTAACTAAACATAATTATTTTATACATCTTAAGAACCATGTGATGTGAAGGTGTTATTTATGAATGGATTAACAAGTATTGATTTGAAAAGATAAGTGTATTATTTATGTAGTATTGTGATGGTTTTGATTTAGTATTTAAAAGTTAACTTTACTTTCAGACCTCATAGTACGATAATAGTAGAGGCTATCGAGCAATCGCGTCGCGTGCACGAGAAACGCCAAACGACAAAAGCAGAGTTACTTTGCGAAATTGCTGAACCTGCCACTGTCACTCTGAGCTTCTTCTTTATTTCCTTTTTTTTTTTTTTTTTTTATCTTGTTCATATTTTCACTCTTACCGTTCACTTCGATTCGTCCTCTTCTTCCCACTCATCTGTTCTGTTCCAAAATTCACACGACCAACGTAACCAGATGAGAAATAATTAAGAAAAAGAAAAAGTGATAGAAGGGACTTGAATGGCCTCAGCGAGCGGAGCAACGAACTCGTCGGTTCCGCCGCTGCAGCAAATTCACAGTTCGCGAACGAAGCTCGGCCACCAAAACATCGAGTCCATGAGCAAAGCCATCGCGCAGTACACGGAGGATGCGCGGCTGCACGCGGTGTTCGAACAGTCCGGTGAGTCGGGGAGGTCCTTCGACTACTCGCAATCAATTCGCATCACATCGGAATCGGTGCCGGAGCAGCAGATAACGGCTTACCTCCTTAAAATCCAGCGCGGCGGCTTAATCCAGCCGTTCGGCTCCATGATCGCTGTGGACGAGCCCTCCTTCCGCATCCTCGCTTACTCCGAGAACGCGCGCGACATGCTTGGCATTACACCGCAGGCCGTCCCCTCTCTCGACGACAAGCTCGACGCCTTCAAGCTTGGCGCCGACGTTCGCACGCTCTTCACACACTCAAGCGCCCTCCTCCTCGAGAAGGCCTTCTCCGCGCGCGAAATTAGCCTCATGAACCCTATCTGGATCCACTCCCGAACCTCCGGTAAGCCTTTTTACGGCATCCTACACCGGATTGACGTTGGAATTGTCATCGATTTGGAGCCAGCGCGCACAGAGGACCCCGCGCTGTCCATCGCCGGCGCCGTTCAGTCTCAGAAACTCGCTGTCCGCGCGATTTCGCAGCTGCAGTCTCTCCCCGGCGGTGATGTTAAGCTTCTCTGTGACACTGTTGTTGAGAGTGTTAGGGAATTGACAGGGTACGATAGGGTTATGGTTTATAAGTTTCACGAGGATGAGCATGGGGAGGTTGTTTCTGAGAGCAAGAGGCCTGATTTAGAGCCTTACATTGGTTTGCATTATCCCGCCACTGATATTCCTCAGGCTTCTAGGTTTTTGTTTAAGCAGAATAGGGTAAGGATGATTGTGGATTGTCATGCTTCTGCTGTGAGGGTGGTGCAGGACGAGGCTCTTGTGCAGCCTCTCTGTTTGGTTGGGTCAACGCTCAGGGCCCCCCATGGTTGTCATGCTCAGTACATGGCTAACATGGGGTCGATTGCATCTTTGGTCATGGCTGTTATTATTAATGGGAATGATGAGGAAGGTGTTGGTGGACGGAGTTCCATGAGGCTGTGGGGGCTTGTTGTTTGCCATCACACTTCTGCTAGGTGTATTCCATTTCCCTTGAGGTATGCTTGTGAGTTTCTCATGCAGGCCTTTGGGCTGCAGTTGAACATGGAGCTTCAGTTGGCTGCCCAGGCGTTGGAGAAACGGGTTTTGAGGACGCAGACTCTGTTGTGTGATATGCTTCTTAGGGACTCGCCTACTGGCATTATTACTCAGAGTCCTAGTATTATGGACTTGGTGAAGTGTGATGGAGCTGCACTTTACTACAAAGGGAACTATTATCCGTTGGGTGTTAGTCCAACTGAGACTCAGATAAGGGATATTATTGAGTGGTTAATGGCCTTCCATGGAGATTCGACTGGTTTGAGCACTGATAGTCTTGCCGATGCTGGTTATCCTGGAGCTGCCTCGCTCGGGGATGCCGTTTGTGGGATGGCAGTTGCTTATATCACGGAGAAGGATTTTCTCTTCTGGTTCAGATCACACACGGCAAAAGAGATCAAGTGGGGTGGTGCAAAGCATCATCCCGAGGACAAGGATGATGGACAGAGAATGCATCCCCGGTCTTCTTTCAAGGCATTCTTAGAAGTTGTGAAAAGCCGTAGCTTGCCATGGGAGAATGCGGAAATGGATGCAATTCACTCCTTGCAGCTTATTCTGCGTGATTCATTTAGAGATGCTGAACATAGCAATTCTAAGGCTGTTGTGGATCCCCGTATGGCAGAACTAGAGTTGCAAGGGGTTGATGAACTAAGTTCTGTGGCGAGAGAGATGGTTAGATTGATAGAAACAGCCACTGCTCCTATTTTTGCTGTAGATGTTGATGGCCACATAAATGGCTGGAATGCAAAGGTGTCAGAATTGACAGGACTTGCAGTTGAGGAGGCTATGGGGAAATCCTTGGTTCATGATCTTGTGTTTAAAGAGTCTGAAGAAATCGTGGACAAGCTTCTATCTCGTGCTTTAAAAGGTGCCTTTTCTAATTTCTGGTCCATTTATTGGGTATATTAGATTATTAGGTAGGAGAACCCTGTACCATTTGGGAGAGCTTGCCAATCTAACCATTTTTGTTTGGCAAAGTTGTATTCGTAATCACGGAGGCTAGAACTTTAGAGGGTGCACACATATTTAACGGAATTCAACAGCATCCCCAAAGTAATAGTTCATATAACGATAATAACTACCTTTTCCGAATATCCAAGCACAAATTATCAGTTGTTCTGTACTATGCACTTAATGATTCAGTCATTAGTATTTCAATAAAAACCGCAACTTAGGATAGTCATAAAATTCAACTAGGTAACAATGCAAAGCTTGTTAAAAGGAGAAAGAAGGAAAGAAAATATTTACAGTCCAATCCCGTGTCATCCTTTTTTGGTAAGCAGCCTGTCGTTTAGGATTTAGGGTTTGCATCGATTGAATAAGGGGCTACTTGGGAAGGTGGAGAATCTGGAATGAAAATAACTTGCTTGATATAAAAAATATGTTATAGAAAATGAAATGTACTCTATTTCGCTTCTCCACATTCCTACATTCCAACTACTGAATGAGGCACACTGTATATCAATGAGGTTAGAAGTAAATTGTTGCCTACTGCTATAAACTACATTTAGTTTGGCTTTAGGAGAATAAGGTATTGATATTGGCTGTACAATGACATAACTTGAATTGAATTAGTACAGGTGAAGAAGATAAGAATGTTGAGATAAAAATGAGGACGTTTCACCCAGAACATCAAAATAAGGCAGTTTTTGTAGTGGTGAATGCTTGCTCCAGCAAGGATTATACAGATAATATAGTTGGAGTGTGCTTTGTTGGTCAGGATGTTACTGGTCAAAAACTTGTGATGGATAAATTCATCAACATACAAGGTGACTACAAAGCTATTGTGCATAGTCCAAATCCTTTGATCCCTCCTATTTTTGCAATGGACGATAACACATGTTGCTTAGAGTGGAACACAGCCATGGAAAAGCTTACGGGTTGGGGTCGTGTGGATGTCATAGGAAAAATGTTGGTGGGAGATGTTTTTGGTAGTTGCTGCCAGTTGAAGGGTTCAGATTCAATAACAAAGTTCATGATTGTCTTACACAATGCAATTGGTGGACAAGATACAGACAAATTCCCTTTTTCATTTCTTGATAGGCATGGAAAGTATGTACAAACTTTCCTGACTGCAAATAAAAGAGTTAACATGGATGGTCAGATCATTGGGGCTTTTTGCTTTTTGCAAATTGTGAGTCCTGAACTTCAACAGGCTCTGAAGGCGCAGAGACAACAAGAGAAGACTTCCTTTGCTAGGATGAAAGAGTTAGCTTATATTTGTCAAGGAGTGAAGAATCCTTTAAGTGGCATACGCTTTACGAACTCTCTTTTGGAGGCTACAGGATTGACGGACGAGCAAAAACAGTTTCTTGAGACTAGTGCTGCCTGTGAGAAGCAAATGTTAAAGATAATACGCGACATTGATCTTGAAAGCATCGAGGATGGGTACGTTTTCTAAGTAATCCTTTAAAACCTTTTGGTTGTCTTGGAAGACAATGATGTAAAGAGTAATAAAATATGGCTAGACAAATCCAACATCCCCACGTGAAAGCTTGCTAATTTGAAATGTGATGAATTACATGCTAACATTCATTACTGAAATGTGATAGCTAAGTTTTCCGAACAAATGTATTTTGACAAGCGACTAGGGAACCGAGTTAGTTCTAATGTTGAATATTGTTGCTCCACAGTTATCTAACTAAAATGTAGACCTTTTTGGAGTCAATTTTTCGCAAAACACTCCTAATAAAGAAAAATAAGAAGAAAAGATAAAATTAATTTCTGTATAAGCTAAAACTAAAATTACCTTCTAAGTTAAAAATAAGGTTTTAAAAAAATAATAAAAAAATAATTTACTTTTACAAATTAGTTAAATATGAACTAATTTTAGCTATAATACTTGATTTTTTTCTCTTTTCTTATGTGAAATTTTCTCTAACCAGACCCAATGTAAAGTTATCTGGATGTGCGAATGCATTTAAGGCCTTGCAGGCTTTCATATGTGAGGGATATTGGAATTTTAAAAGCTACTAATGGGTCAATGGGCTTTTTCATTTGTGATATGATTCATGAATGATCCTATTGTGCAAATTGAGTATTGAGCTTGCCAATCAGGGTATTTGATGATTTTATGTCAAATTAACTTCTCTAGTAATTCTAAAATTATAAATCTAACATTGTTAAGTTCATCATAAAGTTATTTTCCCCTTTTCATAAGATAGTCCTGATACTATTTTTCCTATTTCTTTTCTTGTTTCACTTTCAATTACAAAATTGACACCTTTTTTTTTTCCTTTTGTTTTCTGTTTTCAATTATGTGTATAAGAAAATAACATAAATAATTAAAAAAAAAGTTAGATGTGTTTTTAGTTTCAATTAAATAAATGAGTGTTAATTTTGGTCCCTGTAGTTTTTTTTTCATCCTATTATAATTTAAAACCACTGTTTTTAGTTCTTATAAACAATTGAATTTTGATTTTAAGCTTTGTAAAATAATTTTCTTTTGATTTTCATTCTTCCAAAATTCAAAATCGTTTTTTGCATCTGTAACATTTATTTTAGGATGGATATATAACATTGGTTCTATAAATCTTGAAAAAAAAATCAGAGGTCTCATATGTTGACATTACATCCCATACACTAGTGGATGCCAATTGAGATGCTCATTTAACATTTTTGTTTAATATGTAAGTAGTGGATGAACATGACATAATTGTATAGATTAAAAACAATGATTTCTAACTTTAGAGAGATGGAAAATAAAGGGTTTTTTTTTTTTTTCAGGAATGAAATTCAAAACTCTGACATTTTACAACGACTAATTTAAAAATTGTTTTCTTAATTGACTTGGCCATATCTATGTTTTACCAATATGTCTCTAAGTTTTCAATTTTTGCTTTGATCTGCTAACGTACAGCTACAACATCTTGTAGTTTGTCGAGTACCCTGTACATGTTCGTCAATGATGTATATCAAATTCACGTGTCTTCCTTGACGCTCCTAAATAGACTAAGTCAGTCAACAAAGCACATCTGCATGTAAACATATATACTACCTTCTCTATATAATTAGTTCTGTGAATATTAGTAATTAGTTCTATCTCCATATACCTTGCTTTGCCAGTGGGTTCATACTTTCATTTCATGTTTTGCTGTCTTTTTTAGTTTCCTTTAGTGTGCTTGCTTACTTGCTTTAATGTCCCTATAAACTTACTGCATCGATTTTCTCAAGAGAAAAGCAAGATCATGTTTTGTTTTCCTTTTGGGGTTAGGTCCCTGGAGCTTGAAAAGGGGGAATTCTTGCTTGGAAATGTCATAAACGCTGTTGTTAGCCAAGTAATGTTACTGTTAAGAGAAAGAACTTTACAGTTGATTCGTGATATTCCTGAAGAAATCAAGACATTGGCTGTTTATGGTGATCAATTGAGGATTCAACAAGTGTTGGCTGATTTCTTATTGAATATAGTGCGCTATGCACCATCTCCAGATGGCTGGGTAGAGATTCATGTACATCCAAGAATGAAACAAATCTCAGATGGGCTCACTCTTCTCCATGCTGAATTTAGGTATTGTGGTGTGATCTTGAAGTAATTTTAATTAATTTTGTCTTCAAGTAAGTGTTTAGGGATGATAATCAACACCTCAAATAAGTGTTTACAAGAGCCTCAGGTATATACCCTGTCTCAGTTTATGACTACAATAATTGAATTTTGTGACCTTGGTAGATTGATATCTTAGAATCTAAGTTTCCCATCTGAACTAACTAACAATCTGACTAGTAATCTGTGGGTTGCTGAAAAAAATAATCCATATGCCTGTTGATTTCCCTATTGATATCTTGTCATTTCACATAGCTCGGTGGAGGACTTTAAAGTTAAAAATGTGGAAAACAGGACAAAGATTCTTTACAAGAACAATAGATGGTTTATTGACTTCCCTTTTGATCTCTTGTCATTCTACATAATTTCTTTGGAAAAAGATATGCAGCAAAAGAAAACATTTTCTTACTTGATGGAATTTTCTTTAAGGCTTAAAGAATCTATCAACCTTGGATTAAAAACAATTCACCCAAGGCCTTGTGTAACTCTAGGCCGAGTGAGGGAAAAACAAGAAGAAAAGGTTAAAATCAAAATAAATAGGCAAGATGAGAAGAATGGAAGAACATGCCACCTCAAGATGTGTCAGGATAAATACATTGTTGATTAACCAATTGAAACATCTCTACAATGAGAATCTAGGCAAAGATTATGAAACTCTCAAGATGCTTAACCTCACAAAAACAAAGTTTATTTCATATATCTCAAGTTTGTAGTATACAATAGAGAAACCTTCTATATCTAGGATGATAAAACATATTCAAGAAGGTGTGAAAAGAGAAGCAAAACAAACCATCCAATGGGGGAATAACCCCATGGTGGCTGAAACTTTGGTTTAAAGACGGGGAAGGAAGTTGCAACTTCCTTGTATCATATAATATTGAGGTAGTTAGTACATGAGCTAGTTCTAATTACTAGTAATTGGAATTAATTTATGACATTTAACCATGTTGTCGAATATGTTTAAAGCTTCTAAAATGTTTCTAGAATTTTCCAACATATTTAAAACAAAGTTTCACACTTTTATAAAAGGTTTTTATTTCTTAAATTATGTTCTCTAATCTCTCCTCCAAGGTTCTTGAGTTTAGTTCTAGTCATCCTTCCTTTGTAGACTTCTCCATATCTTTCTTGTCTCTTTCTTTAATCATATTTTTTGTAAGGACTTCTTGAGTTGCCTTCTCCTCACCAAGCCCTCTTCACCTCTTTGAAGTGCTTCCTCTCTATCCATGGTTTTCATCATCATCCAACAAAAAGAATAGAAAAAAAATAAAAAATGCCAATGCTGGTTATTAGCTAAATATATTTAGCAACTTGTAATTAGTACCAACCTTATGGTGTTTTTCCTAATATTCAATTTTTACATGGCTATTATTACTTTCGAGTGGATAATATTTAATCGACTGTGTGCTATTTTGTCTTTTGTGAAGAATGGTATGTCCCGGTGAAGGCCTTCCTCCTGAACTGATTCAAGACATGTTCAATAACAGTCGGTGGGTGACTCAAGAAGGTTTAGGGCTGAGCATGAGCAGGAAGATTCTAAAGCTAATGAACGGCGAAGTCCAGTACATCAGAGAAGCAGAACGGTGCTACTTTTTTGTTCTTCTTGAACTCCCTGTGACGCGGAGAAACTCTAAAAAGTGATAAATAGGTACTATGTAGCTGCAAGATTAAATTTAAAGCCCTGGTTCTGCCCGTCATGCTGACCGTTAGATAGTTTGTTGTCATAAATTATGCTCTCACCTAACAAGGCAACACCTGGGACAAGAATTTGAGCAAGCTGATTTGGCTAGTTATCCCAGTCATATCACATGTAACTCTACCAAATTGAACTGTTGCTCCCTGACAAAACTTGTTCGGTACAGCAAGAGTGGCTTGTTGTTATGTAGCTAAATGTAATCTTAAATCTTACTGAAGTTATGGCAGAGTAGATGACATGCTGTGTCGTCAATATGCACACCTTCATGGCCAAGTGAAGTCTCCTGTGAAAATTTTCAAGCAAATGCTTACAACATTAGCGGCTGCAGTGAACTTCAATCTACAGTTGGATTGAACTGCATCCATCTCCTGCACTGTTGTCTGTTCTAATAGTAACCGCTTATACCGAATGACTTTCCAAGTTCGCAAATAATTGTAAAATCATAGTCTCCCACAAGGTTTGCCCTCTGCTATGTTGCTTTCCAACACCACTATTTTATTTTCATCATTGCCTGTAAATCCCTTTCCTACTCTGAAATAAAAGCTGGGTTATTTATCCTGTATTTTTTTGAAATTTCGTGTAAGCTAGCCTTTCTTCAATTAAAAAAATGAATATGCACTTCTCTATTTTATTATCTGAATTTTTGTTTCTGTTGCTATTTCTGCGGTTTACTTTATTCCTCAATCAATACATCTGCTAAGATGTATTGAACCTACTACTTTTTGGGTATGTAGTGTACCTTATTCAAATAAGCAAAAAATTTCAAGCAGTGGAGAAAGACGTTGGCCGATTGATTCTTTACAGGATAGACGAAACATGAAACTAAAGGAATGGTAGATTATGGACAGTGTTGCAATTTTTAGACTTATGTAAAACTTTTTCAGTCATTATTGTCTTTTTGAAACCAAAGAAATGGTGATCATGTGTATGGTGTTTACAATTTCTAGACTTCAATCAATTGCAATAAGAAAATTTCACAACCATTATTGTCTTCGTGTTTAAGAGTAATTAGAACACATCCACATATTCATTCAATGAAAAGAAATAGATTTAATCCTTGGAGAACCAAAAATTTAATTTTTATATAAACAAATCTTCGTGTTGTCTCAAAAAGTAGTAATAGTTATGTAAGAGTAAAAGCAAAAATTGAGAAATTGTTGGAGATGAATTAGATCAACCCACTTGAAGTGATTGAAGCTTATGAAGTTTACGAAAACTTTCTCTTGATAAACTAAATTTGAAACAATTTTTTTCATAGATGATGGATGAGGAAATGATAAGATTAAAACTCTTCAGTGATGTCATAATTTATGCTTAGGTCTTCTAGTATTTTTTTTTTTTAAATTTACATATGCCAGTTTTTATCATAAAAAAGTTTTGGTCATGTTGTGTTTCATGTACAAGGTAAACTATGATTTTACCATTTATAAACCTTAATCGCATTTATAAATATTTATATTCTTTACATATATTAAAAATATATATTAGCATACCCGTACTCTAAATTTAAAAAAAAAAATCTTATTCCGTACTTCTAACAGTTATCATATAGAGCATAATAGAACGAAATTCTTTTCAAATCTAAAAGGTAATAAAGGAAGAAAAAAACTAAAAATTCTGTATCAATTACATCCTCTAAATTTATGTAAATCGAAAGAAAAAGAAATAAAGAAGATAAGAATTTCATTAATGACTTGACCAGGAAAGGAAGAACCAACAATTGATCTCTCAAGCTGAGAAGGAGTACTTCAATTGTTTAAAGCCACAATTACTGTTAGTGAGATTTAACATGACATTGCATTAATAACTTTTTGAAAATTAAGTTACCTGAATGTGAAGTAAAAGTTTTAAGGATGGGTTCATTACGAAGAAATTCCATCAATTTTACGTGGAGATAATGCATGTTTCATATCTAAAGCCATGATGCCTCAAAAATCAAAGGAGTAAAATTAACTTTTTCTATTTTTTAAAACCTATGACCACTAAAAGAAAGATACTACTCATAATTTGGAGTACATTTTGAATAAAGTTCCTTTTATTTTTTAAAAAGATGAAAACTAAAATAAAAATATAACAAAGACAATAAGTTAAAGTAAGTTACATATTAAAAAATAAATGAACGCATTTAATGAGATTTTTTTATTTTAAGCGTATAAAAACTATATATTAAGTCATGATCAAAATCTGAATGTGTTTAAATGGATAACTTTTAACCTCAATTCACTGTGAAACCAAAACTGACGTTAAATAAACTTAAAAAGAGTGAAACATCTGAAAACAAACATAGTTTAAAAGTAAGTTAAAACACATAAGCATTTACCTATATTTTTAAAATGGGTCCAACTATGAAAATGTGTAAATATGATTAGTGGAAAACAATAAAAAGAAAAGCCAAGTGTCACTAAAATATTCACAATGGCATGTGTATATTTATGGTTTTTCGTAACCAAATTAATTTTCATAAAATATCTATGTAATCAATTATTGTTAATCTCTTATGGTTGAATATTTTTAATACTTGTGAATCGATTAATAGAATTGGTGGTCCTTCACAGTGATAATTTCTCGCCAAACATAACAACGGAAGGAAGCAATAGCTGCAGCAGATGAAACGAAGAGCTTGTTGTTTTTGTTTGTTGACCCTTGCAAATTGCGAACCACATGTTTATGTTTACTTCTTTCTCAAACCTTGAGTGTCACGTTTATCAACCCTGACGTGTTTTGTACCATTCCCAGTGTGAGTATTGCTGAAATGGGAACCCCAGATGATGAAGAAGAAGAAAAGCTTCTCAAGAAGATAGAACGTCTAGAAGCTGGTCACGCTCACCTCAAGCAAGAAATGTCCAACTTCCAGCTCCTCCAAAACCACAGGTCTCATTCTAGGTTCGGTGCTGCCACGAGTAACCAACCCTCTTACTCTTCACTCCATCAAAATGGAAACAGGTATCTCAATATCTTGCAGTCAATGGGCCAGTCTGTTCATGTTTTGGATCTTCAATGTCGCATCATGTACTGGTGAGTAGTTATTTTGATACCTCTTCAAGTTTGGTCATGTGGGGTGTTTGTTTGTGTTGCGTATCTAAAGTAAAAAATGTTTTTTATTTCTGGGGTTTAGTCTGTGTGATCATCATTTTGCAGGAACCCTAGTGCTGAAAATCTGTATGGCTATGCAGCAGAAGAGGTTCTTGGGCAGGATGGGATTGAGAAGCTCGTGGATCCCAGGGATTTTGGTTTGGCCAATGATGTGTTCAACCATGTCAAAATGGGAGAGAGTTGGAGAGGCCAGTTCCCTGTTAAAAATAAGAAAGGGGATAGGTTCTATGCTGTGGCAACCAATACACCTTTTTATGATGACAATGGAAGCTTGGTTGGGGTTATTTGTGTCTCCTGTGATTCACGGCCCTTTCTTGAATCCAGAGTTCTCTTTCGAGGAGCAGAGAATGCAGAACCTGTATCGGGTTCTAATGGTCATAGGAGTAGCATTTCAGATAAACTTGGTCTTGACTCTCAGCAGCCACTTCAAGTTGCTCTGGCTTCCAAAATTTCAAATTTGGTTAGTTTTGTACCTTTTGTGTTTCTGTGTTTGTGTATAGTTTATAGCATGTCTTGATTTTTCTAGCTGTTGAAGCAGGCGTCAAAGGTGAGCAACAAAGTTAAGTCTAGGATCCGGACAGGAGAAAATAATGTCAATCGTGAAGGTGAAAGCGAAGAAAGTCGTCATTCTGAGCATAGTTTGTCGGACTGTGTTCTTTCTGACCAGAGAGAGGATGGTAATTCCAGTGGAGCTAGCACACCCAGAGGAGAGGTGCTAAAATCTCCATTAGGTGTATTTTCTCATGCTGAAGAGAAATTCCAAGGGAAAAAAACTACGAGAGACTCGAATGATCAGAGTGAAGGAAAACCTATTCACAAGATCATAACTTCTAAGGCTGAAACATGGATTCAAAAGAAAACATTCTCATGGCCATGGAGAGCAAACTATCAGCAAGGATCTGAGGAAAGGAATGTTCATGTTGCTTCGCATTTGTTGCAGGGTGACCAAGAGATTGAGTCAATTGATCAGAAGAATCTTTCTTCTGGGTTGAAGCCAGAAAGCCAGGCAGGTGAAAATAATCGACCTGTTAATAACGAGGCTTCAGGATCCTGGTCATCCTTTGTTAATGTTAACAGCACAAGCAGTACCAGTAGCTGTGGGAGTGGCAGTAGTTATGCTGCCAATAATAAAGTGGATGTTGACTCTGATTGCTTGGATTATGAAATTTTGTTGGAGGACCTGACAGTTGGAGAACAAATTGGGCAAGGTAAGTCATGTTCTTTACCAAAGTAGCATGCTTGAGAAAATAAGCTTTTGTCTTTTGACAATTACAATATCCATGCATCAACCAAAAGACATGTATTTGTTTATTTAGATAATGTTGATATATCCGTATACAAAATTTTTATTTTTGAAATTTCTTTGCTTTTTTATTAGGCCCCCACCTTAATTTGATGCCCTTACTTGCTAAACCCAAATATATAATGATCAACTGTTATTGTCCACCGGTATGCTAATAGTTTGAGTATTTCCTATTTACCTGTCTGTTGTTATTTTGCAGGTTCTTGTGGAACTGTATATCATGCTCTGTGGTATGGATCGGTATGTTCTTTTCTCTTCCTGTTCTGGTTTAGATTTCATCTTGCTTAACATGTTTAATTTTTTCTATACATTACACTGATTATTATGTTGCAACTCAAATTACTGCCGTTTAATACACTGAAGTCCTTTTGAATGTTAAATTGCAAATCAGACTAGAATTTATTCATGTTTCTGCAGGATGTTGCTGTCAAGGTTTTCTCAAAGCAAGAATACTCAGATGATACGCTACAGTCCTTCAGACAAGAGGTAATATCTGGAAGTCTAATTTACTTGTTATATTGGAAAATGGGAAATGAGCTATAAGTTTATTGATATGATGAGGTCAGCTTATGTATAACGAATGCTATGATCACCCTTTACCTGGGAGAGAAAAATTGATTAGTCCTGATATGCGAGACTATCTTCTGTGGATTCTACTTCAACGATATTTACGCAATGAGATCTTCTTTATTACACTTGGAGAACCTGATATGCGAGACTTAACCTGATATGCTGTGCAGATTGATAATATTGTATTTTAATAAATTAATTACAAAATTCTTTAGTTCCTGTGACTATTTGAACATCCCTTAAAATTCCTTTGTATACCATTGATTTTACAATGTATTAAGTAAGCAGGTGTCTGTCATGAAAAGACTTCGTCATCCAAATATTATTCTCTTTATGGGGGCTGTCACTTCACCTCAACGATTATGCATCGTAACAGAGTTTCTCCCAC